TTGACAGATGAGTGCACCAACCACTGCGGCATCTAGTGTTGACAGATGAGTGCACCAGCCACCTTGGCGCCTAGTGTTGATGGATGAGTACACTAACCACATTGGCACCTAGTGTTTATGGATGAGTGCACCAACCAATATGGCACCTGATGTCTATGGATGAGTGCACTATCCACTGTGGCACCTAGTGTTGACAGATGAGTGCACCAACAACTGTGGCACCTAGTCTTGATGGATGAGTGCACCATCCACTGTGGCACATAGTGTTGATATATGAGTGCACCAAACACTGTGGCACCTAATGTTGACAGATGAGTGCACCAACCACTGTGGCACCTAGTGTTGACAGATAAGTGCACCAACCACTGTGGCACCTAGTGTTGACAGATGAGTGCACCAACCACTGTGGCACCTAGTGTTAACAGATGAGTGCACCAACCACCATGTCATTTAGTGTTCATGAATGGCTTACCACTGTGAAGCCTATATTATGCTTTCTTTAATATGAGAAAAATGGCAAAATGTGCCTTAAACAATTTGCTGAAATAAGAAGGGTTGGAAAACCTACAGATGATTTGTGTAAACACATACAGAGTATCACACTTGTACCTCCTGCAGATGATTTGTGTAAACACATACAGAGTACCACACTTGTACCTCCTGCAGATGATTTGTAAACACATACAGAGTACCACACTTGTACCTCCTGCAGATGATTTGTGTAAACACATACAGAGTACCACACTTGTACCTCCTACAGATGATTTGTGTAAACACATACAGAGTATCACACTTGTACCTCCTGCAGATGATTTGTGTAAACACATACAGAGTACCACACTTGTACCTCCTGCAGATGATTTGTAAACACATACAGAGTACCACACTTGTACCTCCTGCAGATGATTTGTGTAAACACATACAGAGTACCACACTTTGTACCTCCTACAGATGATTTGTGTAAACACATACAGAGTACCACACTTGTACCTCCTGCAGAAGATTTGTGTAAACACATACAGAGTACCACACTTTGTACCTCCTGCAGATGATTTGTGTAAACACATACAGAGTACCACACTTTGTACCTCCTACAGATGATTTGTGTAAACACATACAGAGTACCACACTTCTACCTCCTACAGATGATTTGTGAAAACACATACAACCACACTTTGTACCTCCTACAGATGATTTGTGTAAACACATACAGAGTACCACACTTGTACCTCCTGCAGATGATTTGTGTAAACACATACAGAGTACCACACTTTGTACCTCCTACAGATGATTTGTGTAAACACATATAGAGTACCACACTTCTACCTCCTACAGATGATTTGTGAAAACACATACAACCACACTTTGTACCTCCTACAGATGATTTGTGTAAACACATACAGAGTACCACACTTGTACCTCCTACAGATGATTTGTGTAAACACATATAGAGTACCACACTTGTACCTCCTGCAGATGATTCGTGTAAACACATATAGAGTACCACACTTTGTACTTCCTACAGATGATATTTGTGTAAACACATACAGAGTACCACACTTTGTACCTCCTGCAGATGATTTGTGTAAACACATAAAGAGTACCACACTTGTACCTCCTACAGATGATTTGTGTAAACACATACAGAGTACCACACTTGTACCTCCTGCAGATGATTTGTGTAAACACATACAGAGTACCACACTTGTACCTCCTGCAGTTGATTTGTGTAAACACATACAGAGTACCACACTTGTACCTCTTACAGATGATTTGTGTAAACACATACAGAGTACCACACTTGTACCTCCTGCAGATGATTTGTGTAAACACATATAGAGTACCACACTTTGTACCTCCTGCAGATGATTTGTGTAAACACATACAGAGTACCACACTTGTACCTCCTACAGATGATTTGTGTAAACACATATAGAGTACCACACTTTGTACCTCCTACAGATGATTTGTGTAAACACATATAGAGTACCACACTTGTACCTCCTGCAGATGATTCGTGTAAACACATATAGAGTACCACACTTTGTACTTCCTACAGATGATATTTGTGTAAACACATACAGAGTACCACACTTTGTACCTCCTGCAGATGATTTGTGTAAACACATAAAGAGTACCACACTTGTACCTCCTACAGATGATTTGTGTAAACACATACAGAGTACCACACTTGTACCTCCTGCAGATGATTTGTGTAAACACATACAGAGTACCACACTTGTACCTCCTGCAGTTGATTTGTGTAAACACATACAGAGTACCACACTTGTACCTCTTACAGATGATTTGTGTAAACACATACAGAGTACCACACTTGTACCTCCTGCAGATGATTTGTGTAAACACATATAGAGTACCACACTTTGTACCTCCTGCAGATGATTTGTGTAAACACATACAGAGTACCACACTTGTACCTCCTACAGATGATTTGTGTAAACACATATAGAGTACCACACTTTGTACCTCCTACAGATGATTTGTGTAAACACATATAGAGTACCACACTTGTACCTCCTGCAGATGATTTGTGTAAACACATACAGAGTACCAAATGGTCGTAGGGATCTCAAGAGACCAGATATTATCTAAATGTTTCCAAAAACTCTATGACTGTTCCATTTCATTGTATAGACAATACTGGCCTGCACAGTTGAGAACAAAGGCAAGACAAGCATGTTGAATGTTGAATTAAGAATCTACATCAAAGCACTCAGAATACTCCCATAAGCGCTCATCCCCATCTTCAGCAGCAAGCGAAGAGTTCCAATTCTGATGGTACCAGTAACCGTCTGATTGTATGTCCGCCTCATCCTTCCACCTTTCCACTGAGTGTTGAGCGTCGGCCAGATCCCCTGGTAACTCCTCACAGCACCTATCTCCTTAGACCATAATGCTCTATCTGCTCCTCCGCACTGTTTACTCCCTTCCAAAATCTAACTAGTTATACATCAATTCACCACCGAGTGGTACAGAGCCAGCCAGTCTATCTGCCTGCTTATTTCCCAACACACCAGCATGACCTGGAGAAAATATCCAAAGGATGCTAACTACTAAGACAAGCATAATCAGACTTAAGCTGGCACCATTAGTATTGGAACTGGACTGAAGATGTGGACGGAGCGTTTATGGAAATGACCTGAGTGCTGTGATGTTGGTTCTCAACCTACATCCAATATTTTTTTTGTTTTGGACATAATTTGTGTCTGTTTACATCGTAGCTGTGTTATTTTGGGCTTTTTGGCTAACATGTAACATACACTTCTCATAGATTATAGAAATAACCACTAATTTCCTTCTGACAGGGAAGCCTCTATTTTTGTTTTAATTTTGAGCATTTTCGGTTATGTCATTATGATTATCATCATATTTGATGTCACTAACAGTATTTCTCCATGATTGCATATCCATGTTCTTAGCTTGTCCTACCTGTTTTCCTAATATTATATATCCTGTTTCGTCCTTTTTAGGACATTTTTTTATTTGAGGCCCCACCCTGGCTTTTGCCAGGGGCCGCAATATAGGCAGGCCATAAATATGGCCAATTGTCTGAACGCGGTTTCTGGGACCTCTCCACGGCGATCCTCATCCACATGGTGGCACTTTGTGTCATCGGGTGTTTATCGCTTGTGTGATGTCCTGGTGGGATAGAAAGTCAGTCAGTCAGTCCTACCTGTTGATTCCACCCCACTTTCTTTTAGGAAATACTTGGTTTAGAAACTCCTGAAGAAGAGGCTTTGTTTAATTATTTGTTACAGCTGTACAGGCCAGTTTAAACTTTACATTTGGATATAATCTTTTTTTTCCATCTTCAGTCTAAATGTATTTTGTGTGAATCCATTTTCGCCAATAAAGCAAGGAAATAAATATTTGTTTAACCCATAACAGACTGACTTTATTGTTTGTGAATTTATTCTGTTGGAAGCCATAGTGTCATAGAATGAAGGTTAAGGGTAAGAAAACAAATGGCTACAGAAAAAAAGTTGGTTGCATATCCTTTACCTTGACGTTGCAGAACCTACCCAAGCATTTTGGGGCTTTTGGTTTTACTAGGCAATTTTACATTTGGTAGTTTCCATTGCTTTCTGAATAGCTGACTCTCCATATCAATGTTGAAATCAACACAAGGCAGTCTGCTGCCAAATCATTCAAGTGAAATTGAATAATAACAGGATGAAGTAAGAATGGTGAAGAAATTGGAGAAGTGTCTAGAAATCACCTGGTGGCCACAGTTCTGAGAGAAAGAAGATGTGATTTATTTTGGGCATATTCTAAGTTAAAGTGGACAAAGAATCATCAAGAAGGCACTGAAATGAGAAACCAATAGGCTGAGGACCAAAGATGTCCAAGAGACACGATGAGTGCTGATGAAAGAGGCCAGGGGTTTCAGACTGCTGGCTTCTCAGTTTCTTGGTTTCAAAAGTGAAACTGCCCCATGTGGGTCCTGGGGCCCCATCAGGGGGAAAAAACAGACTCACCCCCCCCCCCCCCCCAACAAGCATGTCCTAAAAGTCTACTAATTAGGGGCATTTCCTAAGAAGTTGGAGTGTATCTGCAAGGAACCAACAATATGCTTACAAATTAACCAGATCTATAAAATAGATGTGCATGCAAAACTCAATTTCTGGAACAAAACTAAAGTCCAGAAGCACTCGGACAACTCGAACTTTCCACCGGAGTTTACAGCTGGTGAATGCAAAGAAGAAATATGAAATTATTTGAGGCTGTGGAAAATGAAAGAGCAACTGCTAAAACATTTCATACCCTTCTGGGAAAAATGGGCTGAAGTCTACAGGTAATGACTACACAGGTCAATACATATTACAAACAACAGAGTGACATACAAAAAGGTTATTTATTTTCTGGCTCTTTTATTACATTTTTAAAATATTCAACATTATATCAGTAAACATCATAGCATACTCATGTGCAGGCGCGAACATACACACACACAATAAAAGCTTCAGAAATTATCAGAATTAATGATAATACAATGATGCAAACGTCAGAAAGCCTGTGTGTCCTTGCATTGCAATTGTCGGAATGGCACTTGAAAAACAGTAGTTGTGAACAGCTGTTTTGACCTGATTATCTTGAGCCTTGTTTAAAAAACTCTCAGGTGCCTTCTTGACTTTCTTGTGTGACTTTTGTTTTGATTCATCCTCCTCTGTACCACAGTTTACACTATCACCATTTGCAGCCAGTGGTACATCAGACGGGAGTACATTCTGAAGTTTGGCATACTGAATGTTAAAGTTCCTTGCTAAACATTCCACTGTGACAATGTCAGTGAAGTTATTTTTGGACAGCTCCTCACAGCTACGTTGCACTTGTTCAATGCAGGGTGAAAATGTACAGATTCTTCCACCTGGGAACAACATTAATCATTTATAATTAAACTTCACTGTGTGCAACTACACAAATCATCGTTTGTAATCATGAAAACCATAACGTGTAGCTAAAAAAACCAGCATGTGTAACTATAGAAAACCACCATATGTAACTAGGAAAATAATTTTAATTTACATACAAATATTTTAAATGAATGTATTAGTGACGTAGTATTTTTTTAAGAAAAGGACTTCTTCAGGAATTCCTACAAGTTCATTACCAATAGTTTTTATCATTAGTGGGGCAACACGATTGAAGTTCAAAAGGTTCTGGAAGTGATGGAATCTGCCCAGAGATGTTGAAAGTGTAGGAGATAGAAACATCAAAACTTTATAACCAATTTTAATTTGACACACAATACATAAATGTTACCTTGACACACAATATAACAAATTACCTTCTCTCTTAATGGCATTTTTAGCACTTGCAATGCATTCCCATGGTTTTGGCAGATCAAGGAACACGGCATCAACAAGGTGATCGAGTTGAAAGCCTTCCCCGCACACATCTCTGTGGGTTACTGTGACAAATTCTGAGAGGCCATGTTCAGCAAACTCCTGCCGGGCTTTATCACATCTTTCTCCATGAAACTCAAATGTCAGAAGCTGCCCCGATGGCTGGATTGTGCGAAGAATAGCATGAGATAATGAACCACTACCAGTGCCTGTGTTGAAGAAAATGTTTTGAGATTTAAAACTAATCCGACTTATTGCTTTATCATCCTCCTATTGCATCATGTATATGTCACAAAGCGTTTACAGCTGATTCCTCTATTTAAATTTTCCTGTGCAATCCTTTTAAATAGCACGTGTGGAATTCAGGCCAGCACCTCTAGTCATCCAGCCTGAAATATCTGAGTTCAAATCTGCATCATCTGATTTTGTGCTTCAGCCTAAAATAAGTACCAGGTAATGTCCCAGGTAGTCAAGGTGGCAATGATATATTGACCTCATCACCCAAGTGCCGAGCTGTCTACAGAAATATGATTCCGGCATCATATGCCTTTGATGATGCACTAGTCATCCCATAGCTGGATGCAATTTTTATTTTTATTTTGAAGCACCACTCTGGCTCTTGCCAGGGCCGCAATATAGCCCGGCCATAAATGTGGTCTAATGACTGAAAGCGGTTTTCAGGACCTCTCCACTGCGGTCTTCATCCACATGGTGGCACTTTGTGTCATCGTGCGTTTATTGCTTGTGTGATAAAATTTACTGCTACTATTATCATATGCCCAATGAGACACTGGCGTAACAAGATAAAAAAATGTTGAGTAGGGGGGGGGGGGGGGGGGGGAAGATCTTTTGGCCTTTCTGTTCTTTGTTTTTCAGTGGGTTATCTTCATTTCATCAATCCATACTGTGAAAAAAATATAGTTAACACACAGATTAAAATGTCTCAATTGTTTATTTAGTGAATCCAAGTGCTGTCTCTACAATGAAGGTTGGCTGCATTGAATTTATAATGAATGAATTTTTCTCTGACATACTATAGTCAAAGGTCAGCTGAAATGATTTGGCAGCAGATTTCAACAATGTTATGACTGTAGAGCTATTCAGAAAGAAATGGCAAACTACTGAATGTAAAATTATCTACTTGTACTACTAAAAGCCAAAAAATTTTGGGTTTAGGTTGTCTTGCAACTTTAACTTAACCCTTTGGAGGCAGAACCTTTTTAGAGTTTCAGTGCCAAGAAGACGGAGCCTTCAGGAGGGTATTCACTTAGTTAACACACACAAAATTATAAAAAATAAAGCATTAAATTGACATAACATATACCAAACTATGCATATTTTGTAGGAAATAGAATGAACTAACATAATTTGTATAAATCACATTGACATTACTACATTTATTCAAATTAGCTATCAAATTTGCATATTTATACATGCATTGTTTTTTAATTATTTGGGATAATCATCATCATCAAGTGCCTTGCCGACTGGTGTGGGGGATCATGTCTCTCTACAATCGGTGATCTGCAACTGCGTGTATCAGTACCTGTGATGTCACTCCTCCATGTCATGACAAAAGACTTTTAAGAATCTTCTCATGCTGTTTTCCTCCGACTTTTTCCCCAGAGATCTTTCCAGTGGTCACAACATGTTCCATTTTCCTTCTTCTCATAACATGACCACAAAATTATGACTGTCTCCTTCTGATGTTTGTGATAGGTTGTCTTCGAGCACTTGCCTCTTTCAAAATATCTGGGTTGCTCTTCTTAGCAGAAGGAACCTGGGACAAACATGCCTAAATTGAACAATTTGGCTAAATTTTCTGATGAATGAAGCCTGAATAAGTCCTGACACTTGTGTTCTGGGAAGCAAGGCCCATGTAGGCCCTCTAGACACCTCTGACACATGGTTATACTCCTTTTCCTGCCTCCTACTATATTTTGATTGTCATGACATAACAGTCATTTTCAGCGTTGTTGGGCACAGTTAACCCTCCACACATACAAATCAATGTAAAATTACGCAACAAACTTTCATGAAAGCTGTCACTGAACAGCCCACATGTGCAAGAAATGTAAAAAGTACTCTGATTAGCTAGCATGAAGACCAGCCAGCCATCTTAGGGCTTATATTACCAGGCCCACAGACAGGCCATCCATCTTTTTGGCTATTCTGCTACTGGGCCGATAAATCAGCCTAGTCATCCCCAAAGGGTTCAATTCCAATTTACTAGTTAGTTAGCTGCATATCCTTTAGAGCACACTGCAGAACCAACCCCAATATTTTTTTATGATGTTTTGGTTTTTTAGGCACATTTTATACCGCTCTCGATACCACAGTTGAAACCAACGCATGGCGAAAAATTGCCTTCAGCTGGAATAGAACCTGCACCCCGACATTAAAAAGTACGTTCGCAATGCCAAAGGCCAATGGTAAAACAGACTAATTGCTTTTACCTTGAGAGTGCTTAAATTTTTTCTCCCGGCTCTCCTCCAAACTTCTACCCTGGCATTATGGTGGCCATAAAATATCCTTACGTGGCTTAGTTCTATAAAAAATATGCGAACTTCCGGCGACAAACGAATCCCGGCAAAACTAGGATTACCTGACAATTTCAAGAGACGCAACACTGCAGACGATAGTAGCAAACGATAATAGCAACCGTTGACACTTTCGAGCATTTTTGCAGACGATACTAGTAGACAATACTAGCGACCATTGACAATTTCAAGACACGCAATATTACTGACGATAAAAGCCACATGGCGGGGAGACCACGTGCGCCGAGGCAGATTAGCGTCGTTGTTGTCCTCAAACGACAGTATCCCCCGCGCCGCTACGCGCGGATGGGGGAGGGGGGCTAAACTAGGTGCCTGGGACTCACGAGCAAATTAATTGGAGGAAATTGCAGGAGATGAGGTAGCTGCTGCTTGTGAGTCCCAGCCATCTAGTTTAGCCCCTATTAGCACTGCACGTAACGGCGTGGGGGATGCGGTGAGGCATAGTCACAGAAGTAAGATATTGCTGAGACCCTGTTAGAGCATTTGTTTCGTTATATGGAGCCAGCATATTTTTAATATAAATGAGCCCCATAAGGATATTTTATGGCCGCCATAATACCAGGGTAGAAGTTCGAAGGAGAGCCGCTCTACCCTTGTAAGTGATTTCCTGATTTGCTTCTTTGTATTTTTTAATTTAATTTTTGCTGCAATATGCACATGACCAGATAGTAGATATAGCTAACTATGCCAGGCAAAAAACCAAAAACAACAAATCAAAATTGGTAACTGTACCCGTACTGTGCAAAAACTGTAGCAATCTGTTGTTTGTGTCACTGTCTTAATATTTAAAATTTTGGCTCTCCTTTGAATCAACCTCCAAAATGGCAGCTTTAATATGATGGCGTTCAAAAGAGAGCTAAATTGGCCAATTTCTTGCCATAAAATATCCAAAAATATCCGAATGCGTGTCAGTTTTATTAAAAATATATGTGCTGGCTCCGGATAACGAAACAAATGCTCTGACAGGGTCTCGGCGATACGTTACTGGCCAACCTGCTTCTGCGAGTGTGCCTCACCGCCGAGCGTATCCCCCGCGCTGCTACGCGCGGTGAGGATGGGGACCAAACTAGATGGCTGGGACTCACAAGCGGCAGCTACCGCATCTCCTGCAACTTCCTCCAATTACTGTACTCGTCAGTCTCAGGCACCTAGTTTAGCCCCCCCCCCCCCCCATCTGCACCGCTACGCGCGTCGCGGGGGATACACTCGGTGATGAGTTTAATCGCGTTTGGCGCATGCTGACAAGTCTGACATCTACCGCTGCTAAATCCTCCAATCGGAAGAACACAGTATTGCTAATCGGCTTCTATCGTCTGTAATATCTCGAAAGTGGTCAACGGTCGCTAATATCTGCTAGTATCGTCATCTGCAGAAACGCTCAAAATTGTAAATGGTCGGTATTTATAGTATGCTACTACGGTTTGCAATGTTGATATTGATTGTCAAGTAATCCTAGTTTTGCTGCGATTTGTTCATTGGATTTTTTATGGCCAGAATGTGGCATGCCGCCATTTTGGGGGTTGATTCAAAGGAGAGCCAAAAATTTTCACATTCACTCTCACCTGCTTCAGCCACAATAGATCCCGGCTTCAGATCCAACTGGAAGATAATCATACTGATATCAGTTGAATACAGGATCTGTGTACGATGTGGCAAACTCAACGTCCACAGTTCTGGTGTTGGCTGCAGGACGAAAACCCAGCCTTTGGAACACTGTATTTTAGTTCCGTACTGTTTCCCTACCAGGCTGGAATGTTTGACTGCACCAAACTTTGTCTGCATGGTCTCTCCTTTGGCAATCATAATAGGCAGCATATTATCATAACCGATGTGTAAAATTACAGTGTCTCCATAGTCAATTGTGTCTTTCATCTTACGGAAACTCATCTCGTTAATTTCTAGGCGACTTTAGAAATGTTAAAACTAAAACTTGTTTCTCTTTCACGTTTTCTTTGAAATATCGTTGAGAATAGTCTCCCTTGAACGGTGTCGGTGTCAAAAAAGTCTACCATGAAAAGATATTGTCGAACAAATGCTTTTGCAAGAATAATAGTTAGGGATAAAATATGTTGATAAGTTAAACATGGTGTACAATTTTTTTTGAAGTCGAAAAACTGAACAAACAGCGGGTTGACAAAAATATCTTTTATGTGCTTTTTAGACAGCTGCCGTGGTGTAGCGGCTAGAGGCTCGCCTGCTGATCGCAAGGTCGTGGCGTAGATTCGGGTCGTAACGGAGCCGGACCAGGCCGACCCAACCTTGAGTGGGTAGGCTACGAGGCATAATCCTGGGAAGTAAAGGAGGCCCACCAAGTGCCGATTGGTTTAAAAAAAATGTCTAGCCCTATATTCCCAATACACCGAAAGGCGTGGAAAAGAGTCCTTTACTTACTATTTAAACTGATGCAAATAATACCTAAGACGTACAGACAGTCAAGATGGTTATATGTCATTTAATTATGCCTGCTTCATTATTATTTCACATTTATGCATAATGTTGACAAGTCATAAGCGCGGCTTTGTGACACAGGGGCTAGTGAATGTGTTTAATAATTTACTGATCCTCAAATATTGAGGGTTCGATTTTCGAGGTAGACAATTTAAAGAGGTTGTAAGGAAAAAAAGGGGGGGGGGGGCGTGGTTTTCTGACAGTAGTAAGGGAGTCTCACTGTGTAAGTATGGCCTCAACACGTAAAACTCCTAAATACAGCAGTGGTAAAATGTAACCAACCTTTAATGTGGAGACGGCATTTAATTTGTTAGAGTCTCAGAGCATTCACTTTGGTGTCATTTCTGTCTTTGTTTAATGTCACCCCCTGCTCCACCCCCTTCCCCCACCCCACCATGCAATGTCATTGTTTTGCGACCTCTTGTCAAGCTAATTTACTCTTTCAATAGTTCCAGTTATGGCTACTGCAGTCCCACGGTGGTACAGCAACTGATGGTTTCATTTAGCTTACCTAAAGACTAATACTTGCTGAGAAGTATGGCTGTAATGTTCATATCAGTTTCCGTCTGTTTTACCCACCACCCGTCCCCAGTCCACACACACACACACACACACACACACACACACACACACACACACACACACACACACACACACACACACACACATTAAACAACTGAATGAAACCAGTAGTACATTTATATTATAGTACAGAACTGACTGCAAGAAACAACAATCCTCCAACAAGAAAAGAACGCCATAGTGATATAAACGGGACAATCGAACGATTGAGCAGGATGTACATATATAGTTCGTTTCAAAACTCATGCCGTCAGACTTTAACAAATATCTCTCTAACTCATGTACGGATCAACTTAAAATTGTGCATATGACCTTAGATTTACCATGTCCTTATGATTCTATAATTTACAATTGTGCATATCAGCTCCTTGTTTTTTTCAAAGCGGCTAATTAATTTGATCTTTGTTTGACTAATAAGTTTTGCACCCCTGAAACTTGTCGACTTTGTCTGGAAATCAGTTTACATGTGCAGCGATGCGTGGTGATTATTTTGATAGCCTATCCCCCATACAAAAAAGACTTATGTTGGATATGACCATCTGAGAGTGAAACACCTATGTCATGCGTGCAACTTCGTGTTTCGGAAGGGGGCTGCGTGGTCTCAAAGCATGGTGTCCGCATTGAATGTTAGAGGATTTTTTTAACGTGGACTTAGACTTTTAGTAATTCCGCCTGGTCTCTGGGTAGTGGGATCGGACGCCCGTGTGTTTTGTTGCGCACGTTTAAAAAAAATCCCTTGACAGTTGGAAATCACAAAGAGTAGCTAACTGCGCTGCCCTTGCAAAATTTGGAGTTAAAAATTTACCCAAAGTATTTCGCCGGTGCTACAGAGCCTGTGCACTGTGCTGAGCTTCTTCGGACTCAGATTTGAGTTAGAAGAAGAACGGAGCACTTATGATTTACTACCTGTGTGCCATGATGTTGATCTGGTGTTCAAAACCTCAAAACAAAAACTGATGTTTCGAAAGTTCACCTCACTAAATTTACTGTAAACATGTTGATTGTTTGCTTTGAATCGGTGTCTGTTTGCTTTGTTCCTGTACCGCAAATAAGGCAATTTAAGAACGAAATATTTGTTTGCGTTAAAAATACTTACAAGGACATTATTTTTGACAAACCATATGCCAAATTTCAACAACTTAAACCGAACGGTTACTGAATTACTGACTTTTAAAGTTCGGCAGGACTTCTGGAACGCACTCTACCACAGCTGTTGTCTGTGTCTATTGCTAAGGAGTAGCTGTAGATCAGCACATTGTTTACTGTGACATTTACAACAACCAACGAGTCGATGTTCGCGGCGGTAACAAGCAGGTACTACTAGTAGTAATGTTAGCATATATCACGACCTCCTGCAGCTACAAGAGGCAGTGGCATAGATATCCTGTTCAACTTTTGTGTTGTATAAGTGGCACATATCAAGATGTTATATTTTCAGATACTGGAAGCTTATATTTGCCTAATGCGTCTTAATATTTTACGTAGATAGTAAGCGATTTTTAAAATATAGTTGAGTGTATTGGTAAAATAATTATGAGTGTAATTTCGCGGGGGGGTGGGGGGGGGGGGGGAGAGATTGGGGTGGAAGGGGCGGACAAATTATGAAAACAAGGAAACTGAAACAGATTGTGACCCGTGGAAAGATTTGTGGGGAAAAGATGAAAAAAGGAAGACAACGTGAGAAGATTTCTGATAGCCTTTTGTCATGGCATGGATGGGTGTCGGCAAACAAACAGATTACATTTTTTGTGGACCGCAGACTGGGTAGAGGCATGATTGCCCACATCTGTCGGCAAGGCACTAGATGATGATACATATCTGTGTTTTGTGACAATTAATTCAAATTGCGCTGTCTCTACGCTGGAGTTGGTTGAAGTGTTGAGTTGAGTTTAATTCATCACAGCACTTGGGCCATTCATATAAGCGCTCCGTCCCCATCTTCAGCAGCCAGTGAAGAGTTCCGATACTAACGGTGCCAGTAGCATTCTGATTAAATGTCCGTCTTGCCTTTCCTCTGAGCCTCGAGCATCTGCCAGAACCCTTCGTCACTCCCACCTGCATCAATCTCAGCAGACTGTGGTGATCCATCTGCTCCTCCGAACTGTACACGATCTCCCACAAGGCACTAACCACGTCTGCCTTATCGTGCATCAATACTCTACCAAGTTGTGCAGAGCCAGCCAGTCTGCCCGCCTGTTCATTTCCTAACACACCTGCGAGTCCTGGTGAAAAAAAAAAAAAAATCCAGACGATACTCCTCACTCGTGTCCTCTGCAGAAAAGCATGCCACTCTGCACGAAGCATGCCTGTCCTGACCTTCCTCAGCATGCTTTCCGAGTCAGTTACAATCATCGTGTGTGTCGTGTTCTACAAACAACGGAAAGCTGCAGTGGCCGCCTCCACCTCCATTCTTAAGCTGGATGTTTTAGTATCATATGCTAGGCTATCCTGCACCAAACGTCGACCATTCACCTGTGCTAGGAAACCCCAAGCACTTCTTTTGCCTCTTGACACTGAACCGTCTGTGTATATAATCAAATTTGAGCGAGCATTTTCTTGAATTAATTGCTAAATTTCCACCTCCGTGTCACCTGCTGGCCAGTTTCTGCATTCCCCTCAGTGTGATTATGACCTTACACAAGTCTGACTGTTCAAGTGGCACTTTGCCCCACTCCTCTCTTAATGTTCTCAAGGATGCAAAACTGTTTGATCAGCCGCTGACCCTTAACTGCGCTCAGAGCTTCGTGCAAAGGGTGATCTGTGTCTGCAGCGACCTTGAGATATGACTTCGCATGCAGCAACTTGTACATACCTGCAACAATCGGCAAACCAAGGATGTATCGCATACACGCCACTGGGGTCTCTCTGGTGCAACCCAGAATTACCCGCATAGCTGCGTTCTGTAAGCGGTTGCAGTGTGTTCACTGCTGACTGGAAATTGTTTGCGGTAAGGCCGAAACTTTTCCACTGTGAGACTTTCGTAGAATATGGCGGATAGGCGGGTTTACTGCTTTTAGTCATGGCAAATGTTTGCCTTTGACAACAGATAGTCGCTGCATTTTCCTACAGATGTAGACTAAAAGAATATTGCCCAGCTATTGGAATTGAGTGCATGGTGCTACACTGAACGATGTGGATTTATTTGGATTGCTTTTCGACTGAACACAAAGTGGTTCGTGTTGTGAACTGCAGCTTATTCTTCTTCATCCTCTTCTTCTTCTTTGCGTCCGGTTTCGTATGCTCAGATCAGACCTTCAGGTGTGTTGCCTCTATAAACTCGCATGTCAGCAGCAGATCCTTTATGGTTCCACATAGCGTGCTCTAAAAATCTTTGCTGCTGAGGCCAGATTTCTTTTCAAAGTTGTAGGTAGAGTTGGCAGGTAAATTTGCTCAGATGTTTGTGGTTCTGTCTGACAGGCACACTGTGGGGACTGTGCAGTCTTTATTTTATGCATGTGGTGGTTGAGCCTGCAGTGTCCTGTTCGTAGACGGACAATTGTTAAATGTTGCTTTCTGTTGAGTCTGCTGATGGGGCCTTGTTCATGTTTACTTTGGTTTGTTCTCTCAACAATTACTTGAATTTTCACTTGATGAGTGTTTTGATTTATGTCAATGACACCGTGTGGGCATGTTGTTTCCCCTTTGTTCCATTTTTTCAAGTCTGTCTGCTAACTTATTTCCTGGTATGCCGTTGTGACGTGACGCGTGGTTTAAATGTTTATGTTGTTGAGTAGGGATCTTCCTTTCAACACATTCTCTCCACTAGATACACCGAACTAAAATCTGAGCTATGTTGCTCTCAGACAAAGTCCTGGATATCCAAGAAAACAGCCATATTGGCTCGTTAAGTATATTAACATTAGCTGAACTTGGTACCCACAAGAGAAGGCAAGGAATTTTAGATGTCTATCATACTTAATGTTAATGAATTATTAGACAGGGCAAGTGATTCCTCCGTCATCTACCTTCTCCCGGTGTTATTATTAATAATTAAAGAATTATTATATTATTTGAGCCCCCACCAAATGGTAATCTATCTTAACAGTTTAATTAAACATGTAAGAACAGACATTTGGAATTTAACAAACTATGTAGTTTAAAACTTGACATACAGCTTTATTTACTACAATGAAATTCCCAGTTTGTTGATTTACACAAACAGTGACTGGTTAACTTGATGATGGTGGTAAGCTTCAGCGAGAAAAACAGCTCGGGGGTTAGAGTGGTATGATAATGATGATAATAGGTTAACATAAAGGGGTTAACTCAACTTATAAGCCTCTGACAGCCGTGAGGAACTGTCAAGCTTGTCCAACTCTTCCTTGCCTGTTGTCTGCCTGTTTCAGCTTATTCTCCACTTCATCCCCACCTCGTTCTCCACCTCGTTCTCCACCTCGTTCCCAGCTGGCCGAGTCTAACACAATGTAGGCTACTTCATGGACTGATCGTCACATGGGCGCTGTAATCATGGAAACAAAACACATACGTGTAGTATCTTGACTTACACTAAGAATACATGTATCAATTAATACAACATATAATAATAAAATATATCCCGTCACTCCTCCTCATATTCCACATCCTCTCCAGTCTAGTCTGAAGGTCTTTTGTCTTACATGGGCGTCACATATCCTGCCTTCCCTCTTCATGCTATGTCATGATAGTTGACTTTCTAAGTCTGTTGTCCGTCATCACTCAGACTTCCAACAACTGGCTGACATAGATTTGACATACACATGTGGCGCAGGTTATGTGCTGAAAACGCAAACAATTTATATGTGCACGCTGTCCTGAATATTATCTTTCAGTGACAGTGAATTCTATACACCCATCATTCTTCCCCTGGGGTTATAAATCCCCTGTTTAGGTGAACACATTAAGTGAGCACATGGTGGGCACACAAAACGTAGCAGCATCCCTGCACATATTTGGGCATCATTTCCCACAGTCCCAACTCATATTTTGGCTGATCGTGAAAACAATATAATTACATTTCATTATAGCAAATGTCATTGTTCACATCTTATTTTATACACATGAAAACATACAATGAAAAACATGTGACACAAACCTACAAGAAATAGGAAGAGTTTAGCAGTTCCCTAACTGAGATACTGAATACTTCACAAAGAACTATTTCAAGCAGAATGTGCAGACAAATTAGGAAAAGGTAGTATAGACTAAGCTTAACTCCCTAACCTAAGTATACAAGATTAAAATTAATATTTTCTCTTACCTGGGAACTTTCCATTAATCGCCAAAACAGAATGCGACCGTAAAATTTACCTTTTAGGTCGATCTGTGTTGTTTGCCGGCAGGCTGCGATTAATGACGGAAATTCCACAGGCTCGAAGTATAAGTATCAATCTATTGTCCAAATTAAACTCCTCCCTTTCCTTAGTTTTTACCCAACCCTCAAGATGATGGCTTAAGCACCGCCCCTGAGGTAACTATCAGATCACTTGGCTAACCAGTGACCTGTCACTCAATTCTGGACTGACATCCCTAGAGCAAACATTCTTAAGTGGCCCAATCTAGTTTACAACGAATCTAACTGGCAGGTGTTAAAAGACGTTCAGTGAAGCCATTGTGTTTCCTACTTGACCCAGATCAAACAGTCCTAATTGCCACACAACTGTTCTCCCCCGAATTACACTGACGTGTGAAACTCTGACCTCTGGGCTCCACAATGTCTAGCGTCCACTCAATTTACCTGGTCAAAAGGGCCCCCCTCAGTCTCTACAGTCTGGTCAGGAGATAACATTCTGACACTGGCGTGAGAATGCAATCTAACATCCCTAGTCTGAACCAGCAGGCTATATTACGTAGTGTTGGGTAATTTTAAACAAAGCGCAGTGGCTTGTCTCGAAGAAGGACTGGTAACAATTTAAATCCGTGCGGTTTAAAGCAATATTAGGATAAAGCGCAGAGTAAATATAATTCTGTCTCTTTAGAACCAGAAGAACTTATTACAAGTACTAACTTCTGGAATCACTGAGATCGTCTCGTGACAGCCGTAATGAGCCGGGATCCACTGGAGAACGATTTGATTGTTTTCTGGGTCTGTAGTTCTCTCTCGATGTTGTCTCGTGGATCCCTCTTAGTAGCCAGGAGGACTGACATGCAATCACAAAGGAACATAATTTTGCTGTTTTTAATTTTTCTTTCCTCAAGCACTTTCGGTGCATCAATAACTGCTTGCTGCTCTGCTCTGAAGTTTGTTAAGTCTTCCGAAGGCGCATGACGGTTCTTCTGTGGTCCTATCTTGCAGCATAATGACCGATCCAGCTCCTCTGTGTTTCTCTGCTCCTTTGGTGTATACCTGTGTCCATCAGAGTTTGGGATAAGAGTTGTAGATATGTTCAAGGGTTTTTGCAAGCAGTACTAAGTCACATTCTTCAGCCTTCTTTCAGCTTTTTTTCAGAATTGAAACAACGGCGCATTGCTGCTTGTCAAGAACTTTTGCGGGGCTTTTGAAGCAGAAGGAATTCGTTTTCTATCAAGAATTATCGACGAATTTCTAAAGGTTTCACCCCTTAACCGATTACAATAAATAATTCGGGTAAAAGAATACCGGATAACAGAACGCTACTCCTCTGTGATATATCTTTACACTGTCATGATGACGTCACATTGGTCGTCTGCACTGCGATGTCACGTGCTTAACATACTTGACATCCATAACAACGATATTGACAAGTTACAAGACAATGACACTGTTATTGTAATTTATATCACACCTTTGAGGTGTGCATTGAAAGAGCCCTCCTATATATAGGCCTAATGTAAAGTATATGATGTGCTGCATTTGAAGAACAATATGAAATATACAACCAAACATTATAAATAGGAGATGCTGTGGTGTAGCGGCTAGACCTTCTCCTGAGAATCTGAAGGTCGTGGGTTTGGGACCTGCTAAAGCTGGATTTTTTTGTTCAACAATGATCTTGGCTCCCGGGTCTACCCAGTCTTGAGTGGGTGCCAGGTGAATTTTTGGGAAGTAAAGGCGACCGACGTGATGCTGTCCATACCCACCAAGTGTCGATTGATATATAAAATATGGGTCTAGCCCTACATGCCCAGTACGCCTGAAGGTGTGGAAACTGGCCTTTCACTTTAAAAGAGAACGTCCAGACAACGCCGGAGACGGTCTTGGTCTATGAATGTTTGGGGGGGGGGGGGGGGGGGGGGGGGGGGGGGGGGGGCTTGATGCTCTTAGACCCCAGGTTCCGACGGACAGATCTAATATTAGAAAAGACAATCTCTCTCTCTCTCTCTCTCTCTCTCTCTCTCTCTCTCTCTCTCTATATATATATATATATATATATATATATATATATATATATATATATATATATATATATATATATATATATATATGGGTTCCGGTACCCTGTTATAGGGAAAACAAGAATAGATCCACTGCCTACCCAAAAGCGTAAAAGTCAACTAATTGGGAGCTTTCTTCGAAGTCGGAGTGCATCTGACCGAGAGGCAAGAAACCAACAGTCTCCACACAGATGTGACAGATCTGTCAAACGGATGCACACGCAACACTTAAGTTCTGGAACATGACTGCAGTCCAGAAGGGGATGAACAACCAGAACTTTTCACCAGAGTTTACAGCTGGTGAACGCAAAGAAGAAAGAAGAAGATATATATATATATCCATATGTAAAGTAAAGGACCCTTTTCCACGTCTTCAGGCGTATTAGGTACATAGGGCTAGACCTATATTTTATAGACAAAATGACACTTAGTAGATGATGTGGTCAGCATCACGCCAGCCGCCTTTACATCCCATGATTGTACTTGGTACCCATATTATGTGTGAATGTTTTTAAAAAGAGATTGGTGGAGTGAACATCGTGGTGTAGTAGCTAGTCGCTCGCCTGTGGTCCCGATTGTCGTGGGTTCAAATCTGCACTGAGCAGGATTTTGTTCAAAAATGACCCTGGCTTCCTGGTCACATAGCCTAAAATGGGTACCAGGCAAAGTCATGGAAACTAAAGGCGGCCGGCGTGATGTTGAGTACATCACTCACCGAGTGTTAATTAGTCTAAAAATAAAGGTCAGGCACTATTTACTAAATCGTCCAAGAGTGTGGACAAAAGTCCTATAATGTGAGACCCTAATTAAAACCTAAAAGGGGTTGAACATGATATCGTCGACTAAATAACTCTTACCACGTTTATTAGGTTAGTTGCGTATCCTTTACAGGACGTTGCAGAGCCAACCCTAACAGCCCCTGGCTGTTGTGTGGTTTTTTAAGGCAAATTTACATCCTGTAGTTTGCCATTGCTACTGGACGGTCGGCTTTCTTGATGCCACTGTCGAAACCAACGAAAGGCGCATGGCCCGCAGCTGGGATCGATTACCAGATTACCAGATGGGGATCGAACCCGGCATCTCGGCATTACGAAGCGTTCGCATCGACTTAGCCACAAAGCCGACACCACATCTACTTCAGACTCAAATTGAGGATTTCTTGATATTTGTTAGAGTAGTCTTTCCTGCCGGTGCTTCTGTAAAAAAAGGAAGATTTGGTGGCCGGAGAAGAAACAGTTGGAGATCAAAACCCAACATCTGAAATGACGGCCCAGAAACAACACTGAAATACTGCAATACGTGGCCATGATTGCGTTAGACTTGTTAGATTCACGGTGCACAATTTTCCTACTGCAGCCACATGTTGAAAGATCGGTGGTGTTCAGAAACAAGCACCATTAACATGATTCGGATGAGGTGCATCGTTGTTTTCATCGTTGTAGGGATAGCGCTAGGCATAGGCATATCGACTTTCTTTTCTTCGTTGGATCCAGGCAGAGTCCGTGGCAGCGGCACAGACGTTGATGAATATTTGCGTTCTTCCAGGAAATGGAGTTCAGAGGAGAATAAAATAGCAAATATATTTTGGATTGTACAGGTACCCGTACTTATGTTATTTTTCTCTCCTCTTCCTCCTCCTTCTTCTTCACTTCTTCTTCTTCATTCTTCTTCTTCTTCTTCTTCTTCTTCTTCTTCTTCTTCTTCTTCTTCTTCTTCTTCTTCTTCTTCTTCTTCTTCTTCTTCTTCTTCTTCTTCTTCTTCTTCTCACCACCCTACTCCCCTTCTCCCTCCTGCTCCTTCCTCCTTCTTCCTCCTTACCCTCTTCCTTTTTCTTCCTCACTCCCTCCTTCTTCCTCTTCACCCGGCTCATCAGGCCTCCCCTCCTCCCCACTCTATTCCCCCTACCCCTCCTCTTTATTTATACCCACCTCCGTCCCCGGCCTGCTTCTTCTTCTTCCTTCCTCTCTTCTTTTTCATCCTTTCTTTCTTCTTCCACATTATGAGACCTGGAAGTTCATTGCTGTGTACATCACTCGCCTCCACTCCATCTCCCTGACTGACCTTCTCATTATACTTGGTGACTCCAAGGGTTTTAGGTTTTCCTGTGTATTATCTCTATATCATCTTCTTAGTCTGCAATGTAGCTTCACGTAACCTTAAAATTTTTTTTTTTTAAACTAATTTTTTTGTTTTGTTAGTAATGCATTATAGTAGTAACAGTTATGTTAACACAGTTACTAACAGTAGTTTCACCATATTAGAATCGATAATAATTTTCACTTGAATTATATCCTATCCAACCCTAAAGGCTAAAACTGGGATATAAAAGCAGGATACTACTTAATGAAGTCATTAGGGTACCCTAATTATATCCTAGGAAGTTGAAGGGGTATAAATGAGTATGTCTGACTAAATGTTGAAGCTATTTAATTTGTTCACGAACTTTGTTCAGTCGGTGTTATTTTTCCATACAACATTTTTTGGGTTTATCGTGAGCTTGTTGTTTAAGTTCTCTTACTTCTTCTCTTCTTCTTCTTCTTCTTCATCTTTGTCTTCACCGGCTGTAAACTGGTTGTTCGTCCACTTTTGGGCTTTAGTCTTGTTTCAGAATATCCCTTTTAAAGATGTGGTTTATTTTTTTGCAGGCAATTGATTCCTGACCTCTCAGGTAGATGCACTCAGACTTTGAAGGAAACACCCCTAATTAGTCAACTTTTAATGACATGCTTGGGGAAGGGGGCAGTGGGTCTGCTGCTTGTCCCCTAAATGGGGCCCCGGAATCCACATGAGGATCTTCAGTTACTGAATGATAATGAAAGAAATAGATATTCCATCTTGGCACTGGGTTAGAGTTTTTTGACAGTGAAATATCAGAGTTGCCGACAGGATGCATTTAAAATTCATGATCACAAATTCGAGGGGTACAAACAGTCAGCAGTTCATGTAAAAATATTTGTGAAAGCATGGAACATAGTAATAAATCCCTGCTTGTACAAACATTTTGGTTCATGTTAACTGAATGTGTATGTGTCTGTGGCTTAGGTGTTGCGAAAACGCTTTGTAATTCCGAGGTGCCACATCCAATCCCAGCTGCGGGCAGTTTGGCAGCAGACTGCCTTGCAGTCGTATTGAGAGTTGACTGTTCAGAAAGCAGTAGCAAATTGCTGTACACAAAATTGACAAATCAAATCACGCACAGCCAAAAAATGCTTGTGTTGAATCGGCAATGTCCTGTAAAGGATACACAGCTAGCACTCATAAGTTCCTACCTAGGAGCCCAGTGAATGCAAGTGGCACCAATTTTATGTCCCTCTTTACTACCGCTTGGGCCTCTGATGCTAAACCCCCTTGGACTGAAAGAGCTAAGTGCGCTCTTGTTAACAAGGTGTTATTGTTTTACCAACCTAGAATTAATCTCTATTTTCTGTAATGGAAAGCGGGTGGGCAATAGAATGGACTGATATAGACACTGAATTCCATTTAAGAGGTTACATGACTACAAGAATCAAATATTGTCAGTTGACTGGCAACGTTGACAAAATTATTGCAAGGTCAGCAGGTCAAAAGTAAAGAGCACTATCGTGGGAGCCAACACAGAAGAGTTAATAAACACAGGACAGGGGAGAGGCGTAATAACTTTCCTGTGTGGGTTGCCTCTGAATGGTCGGCTCTTGTTACCACTGTCGAAACCAGTGCAAGACAAATCATCAGCAGCTGGGATTAAACCCAGCAGCCCGGCATTATGAAGCTCGTTCACAGGGCCTAAGCCACAGACACCGACATAAATATACTAAGAAGGGAAATCTGAAAACTTACAGACCAAATGATATTACGAGAGGTGTGGACGTTCTGTCAACTACTTTACGAGCATGTGCTAGCAATTATATTGTTGTAACGCGTCAAAAGAGATTTGTAATTGTAATACTGCAAAAAACAATATTACAGGGCTGAGTAGAGGGTAAGAGCAGAAGAGGCAGACCAAAAAAGTCCTGGATACAGAACTTGACTGACTGGACAGGCCTTATGCATGCAACCATCAAGTCCATTGCATCTGACCGTCAAAGGTAGTAGGAGCTGACCAGACAGTGAAGAGCAACTGGTGATCCAGTGATACTCAGTGTTACAGGATGATGATGATGATACTGCAGTATCCTGCAACGTGCAATTCCTATAGCACGCTGGTCTTGCTCATCACACTTGTCCACACCGTGAGCTTGTATTCCCATGCCTGTTTATAGCACAACAGAACACCATCATCTAGAAAGACAGAAAGGTGCCGACAACATCCTGCAGTGTACATAATTTATGTTTTATGGAACCCAAACACTATCTTGTGTACCTGTTTCTAGAAAAACATGTATATTTTTAATTCACTCATTGTTTTGTTTCCTCTGATCTACTTTAGTATTTATTATTGTTTGCACAGGTGTCTGATCTTCACATCAGTGTATATAAGGATCTTGCTCGTGGTTCAGATCTGGAACAAATTTTGTGAAGAATACCTCAGTATTATTAAACCAGAAGTGGTTCTTATTTCAGGTACATGAACTTTATTGAAATTATTGTTTGAATTTTATTATGGCATTGGCATCTTCTTACCTAATAACAATTACTTATGCTATTGGTTGGATTGCCACATGTGTGTCATTATCCGAATATAATCTTTTCTGACCAAAATCTTTGTTCACCCTCATCTCTGTATGTTCGGGACATGGGCTGTTGCCTGAGCTGGATGCTGAGTCACTTCCACATAGTGTGTCTTACAGTGCTGATGCCATTGTATGGCAGGGGAAGACCCCTGATGTCGTTGTCCCTGACGAGGCCGGCCTGCACTGTGTCTATGTTGTTTTAAGGTGCTCTGGTTCCATTGGCAGGTTTGCGTTTCAGATGGCAGACTGCCTAGGGAGGTTTTTCTTTGGCTGCAGGAGGAGGTAAGCACCCAGATCGAACAAGGGAAACTTTTCAGGGATGGTCTCTGGATTTTATAAAATGCATTTGGAATTGATCCTCAGACCTGAAAGGTCACTGCTTGCAGCCGCTCATTCTAGCATTTGGCTCATCACCAAGGGCTGGTTGCCTGTGGGACAGCTGGAACAGCAGCATTGGTTTAACACAGTAAGCCTGGATGGGGTGTTGGGCTGGGTTCTCAAACTGATATGACCAGAATTACCTGCCTGTGCTGCCTAAAAGCTTCCACTTCAAGACTGACCTCATCAAGCTATCTATACGGCTTTCATCTGCCACTAGCAGATGAAAGGACTGATGATACCAAGTGTGGCGGACGATCAACACAAAAATACCTCTTCCCTCCCCCACGCCCCAGTAGCAACATTATTGTATGCCATAAATTAATAAGTGTATATAATGAAGGGGATTTAAAGTGAAAAAAAATTATGGCTTTCAAAATGTACATTTAAATAATGAGAACACAAACAATATAGTGTATATTTAATTGCCTGGCATATTTTGTTGTATCTTTACTTTGGAGTTGACACATACTATACAATGAAACACAAATTCTTTAAGTTCAGTTGGAATTCACAAATTGTATAGTCTCTTCAAAATCCTCAACCTTTGTAGTGCTTTCAACTCTCTACTTGTAGGAGACCTTACAGATGCCAAGACACCAAGTGGGATTGGGTCAAGGCAAATCAGAGATGAGTGGATAATATATGAGAATTCTGTGAAAAAATGCCATGCCTACAGTAATGCAAAATGGCTTGATCTCAGAGGCAACCATGGTGAGTGTTTTCGTATACACTGTATTGCCTGTACTCTTCACTTTCATGCATTAATCAGCATTAATCAGTTTGATTTTTTATTTAGGGTGTTGAGTGTGTAACTAAGAACTGAGATCATAGTATTTGAGCCATTGCCATAAGCGCTTTGTCCTTATCTTCAGCAGCAAATGAAGAATTCCAAGTCCAGTTGTACGAAAAGCAATTTGATTAAATGTTTATCTTGCCTTTCCTCTAGAGTGTTACCAGATCCGCTGGTACTCCTAGCTGTATCATTCTCTCCAGATTATAATGATCCATTCTAGCCTCTGCATTATTTACTTGCTCCCAAAGGGTCTTGACCACATCGAGCTTGTTTGCATAATAACCATTATCACCGAGAGATCATGCTGTGCACTTCATTTCATCTTCAGCAGATATATATTTAATAAAAAGATCACTGTGTTACATGTTTGTTTAAAAAAATAAACAAATACAAATTTAAATTCAGAGCTAATTAATGGGACTAGAATTAGTCAGTCTAGATTCTTTGCTGAGGAATATAGGGGTGATTGCAGTCTAGATTCTTTGGTGAGGAATACAGGGGTAATTGCAGTCTAGATTCTTTGGTGAGGAATATAGGGGTGATTGCAGTTTAGATTCTTTGGTGAGGAATATAGGGGTGATTGCAGTCTAGATTCTTTGGTGAGGAATATAGGTGTGATTGCAGTCTAGATTCTTTGGTGAGGAATACAGGGGTGATTGCAGTCTAGATTCTTTGGTGAGGAATATAGGGGTGATTGCAGTTTAGATTCTTTGATGAGGAATATAGGGGTGATTGCAGTCTAGATTCTTTGGTGAGGAATATAGGGGTGATTGCAGTTTAGATTCTTTGGTGAGGAATACAGGGGTGATTGCAGTCTAGATTCTTTGGTGAGAAATATAGGGGTGATTGCAGTCTAGATTCTTTGGTGAGGAATATAGGGGTGATTGCAGTCTAGATTCTTTGGTTAGGAAAATAGGGGTGGTTGCAGCTTAGATTCTTTGATGAGGAATAAAGGGGTGATTGCAGTCTAGATTCTTTGATGAGGAATATAGGGGTGATTGCAGTCTAGATTCTTTGATGAGGAATATAGGGGTGATTGCAGTCTAGATTCTTTGGTGAGGAATATAGGGGTGATTGCAGTCTAGATTCTTTGGTGAGGAATATAGGGGTGATTGCAGTCTAGATTCTTTGATGAGGAATATAGGAATATACTTGGACTCTCATTTCCTCCTGTGGGTTGGATCTAGGGCTCCATTTTGGTGGAAAAAAAAGTAGACTGGCTGTCTCACTCCAACAGGCATGTCATAAAAGGCGACTAATTAAAGATTTTTTTCTCCGAATTCGGCAGCTTCTTTCTGAGTGATGAGGAACCAGCAGTCGGCATACAAGTAGGCCAGATCTGTAAAATGGATGCTCCTGCACTATTTAAGTTCTGGAACAAGACTGAAGTCCAGAGGTGGATGAACAAGCAGAACTTTCTGCCACAGTTTGCAGCCAGTGAATGTGAAGAAGAAGAAGAAGGATGTGCAGTGAGTGGGGGTGGAACAATAAACCTTCCTCTCCAATCTCTTGTTGAGCTTTCCAGCCGTAGTTTGTTTTCAGTAGATTCTTTGGGCCTATGTGAGAAGGAGAAAACTTGAATATTTGGTGACAAAGGGAGAAATGGACAGTGTGGCATGACTGCTTGAAAGGTCTGTACTAGAAATGTTTGGCAGTACACAAGACAGAAGGCTGTGGACAGACATGGCTACTAACGCTCAGTATGTAGATCAAGAAGAAGAATTTAATGTGGTTTGGAATTGGTAAAAGATAATTTTTATTGCATAAAACACAGCTGGCAAATTGTCCATATCAAGTGTCCGGGCCGATTTGGAAAAAAAAAATATACCAGAATGCATTATACCATGAAAGAAGGCAGGGGCTGACCAGCATAAAGATGGGCATCGGATATAAGCGTCACAGTGAAAAGTGCACAAGACGGGAGAGCTGTCGAGAGTCAAAGTTTTTTCTTCAGGCAGACTGTGATGAGAGCGACATTCTGCAAAGGATCTGCTACATAATGAGTACAAACGATGAACAGACTACTTCTCACACATGATCTCACACCATCTTTTTATGGCTAAAAAAAAAAAGATTATATTTGTTTGCTAGGTTTTAGCAAATGATCACTTTTATCACACACATTTATCATCAGTGGGAATCGGTGGCCAAATGTTTCCCTGCTAACCCAAAGCTCTTGGGTTCAAATCTGCCTCAGGGTTGATTATTTTTATTTTTTATAATTGACCTGAGCTACATGGTGGACCCTGCCAGAAACAAGTACCAGCTAAAGTCCTGTGTAAAGTAAAGGGTAGACAGCGTGATGTTAACCACACATCAGTTAAATGCTGACTGGTCTGTCAACATATAGTGCTAAATACAACAGAAGATGGGACAAGAAAGCTCAACGGAAGGAATGGAAAGAGACACACTAATACAGCTGAGCACTTCGGACAAAGTCTTTATCAATAGATTGCTAAAGACAACACAAACCTCTCTACATCTTATCATCAGCTTGACTGTGATTTACCCCTCTGATTTACTTCAGCACTATAAAATTATACAGCTAGCAGCAAATGTCTGAGACACCAGGGGCGTGTAAAGTATCCTTTACTTACTTCTATTTCATTGAGGTCTCAGTCTCACCCATAGAACTGATGCATAACTTAAAAACAAAGAAAGTATACACCAGACATTTTTTCAACATGTTTCAGATTCATTTGATGTTTTTGATTTTGGGAGCAAGAACAATTATTACAAGTATGTATATTTCTTAGTCTGCTACACTTCTATAACTAGATATTTTCATGTTTTCTATTCTGTGCCATTATGTTTGGTGTTTTTTGTTGCATTTATAGTAGAATAAAGAACAGCTGCTGGATAATTGAGTTCTGTGCAATATGATACTGGCAATAAGGTAAAACCGCCTGTTATTTACAACTATCAGAGGAGTGTATGATGGGACGAGTATTAAGCCTGGACATTTAAGACTGCAAGCCATTATTTGAAGAGAATTGTGCAGCAGAGTCTGCTAGTCGTATGACGAGAGTGCGATAAAATGAGTGAATTATTTAAATCAGACAGGGGATGTGTCACTGTCAGTCGTCAGTGAATCTTCATCCTGAAGTTCTAATAAATTTGTTTCATTGCGTTTATGACATGTGCAGTCATTATCACTGATGTTTGCACAGTTTGATTTGACAAAGTTGTGATCTAATCTTCTTCTTCTTTTGTCCTCTCACTGATACCAGGTTGTAGCCCAGTGTTTGGTTTTCTGTATTTGTCTAATGTTTCTAGGATGGCTTGCATGTTGAATTTGATCATCTTTTTTTAGGTTTCAGCTTCATCATGTATATATCAATTTCTTGGTCTTCCTCCAGCCTTCCTCCCAGATGTTCTGCTGTAAAGAGTCTCATGTGTAGCTCTATTCAATATTTCTTGTGTAATAGCAATCAGTTACACCACTGCCAGCTTGCTAAGCCCGTCACATGGTATGACAGGAACAAATCTGACCTGGTTGGTGCCCGTCTCCTTCCAGGTCAGGCTTTGCCCCGTTAGCCTGAAATCTCACAGCTTCAGTTTTGCAGCGTGCAGCAGGAGGAGGTGGGGTTGCCCTGGGTGCTCTACGGGTCATAGGCAGTTTACTTAATTTTCACTTTTCACATCTCCAAAGAGAAGCTAGCCAACCTTAACACTGCTGGTTGCAGTGGCCAGCACTGAGCACACCCTTACATGCCTATGCCCTATTGCTGATATCATATTGCGCAGAATCCTATCATCAGGCCAGCTCTGTTCTTTGCTGTGCTATGATAGCCAAGATATTAGTGGAAAATTGGAAAAATAAAGTCAAGAAGCTATCTACACATCTTTAAGCTTTTTGGGTATCTAGTCCTAGCTTCATATTTGTATATACCAGTGGTTGGCAAATCGTGCCTCGCGAGCCACATGCAGCTCTTTAGTGACCTGAGTGCAGCTCGGCCAGTCCGCTACAAATCAGTTTTGACTCCGAAAAACACGGTTCTTGACAAGAAATTTGGCACACAGAAAATTCTTAATTGTCCTGCTGCCAATTGTTGGCTCTTTTGACTAATGACATTACTGGTATAGATCAATCAGCATTTGATAATTGGTGTAGCCAGTATCATGCCGCTGACCGTTGCTTCTTGGAACATTTCCTGGTACCCATTTTAGGCTTGGACAACCTGTGAACTCAGGTTAATTAATAAAATCTATCTCATTGGAGATTTGAACCTGTGACCACCAAATTAACACCAAGCTGGTAGATAAAAGTGCTAGTCGCTCTTTCACCATGGTTTTCAGCATCTACAGAAACAAATGGACAACCCGGTGTCAACAGGCCTGTTTCTTATTGTTACAAACTAAACTGAATTATAAGTCATAAGATTTTAACATTGTTACACATGAATTTTTAAATTCTGTTCTTTTCCAACCCAGATTGCATTCAGTTCATGGGTCAAGTTTGAAGGAGAAATCAGATTTTGAGAGTGGGTTTATCCATAAACTGGAGATGCCATTTGGCACTTACTCCTTCATTGGGATTGATACCTGCAGCAGACCTGGGCCTAACCGACCATTCAACTTCTTTGGCTACTTAGATGATGTAAGTAAGTAGCGAGGGAGAGGACCTTTTTCATGCTAGCTACATCTTTTTTATGGATCAATTGGTCCTCTGGTCAGTAACAAGCCATCTGCACTCACTTCCCAGGTCATTTCTGGTACCCACTTTTTGCTGGGTTGACCTGGGAGTTCAGATCGCTTTGAAAAAATAAAACCTGTTCACTGCAGATTCAAACCAATGATCACTGGGCCAGAAGGCAGGCGTGCTAGTCACTGTGTCAGTAATGCTCTAGGTAATGTATGCTGTCTGATTGATTGATTACATTCTAGAACCAACTTTCATCTTCTGCCTCTTTTATCAACTCATGGCAAGCCCTTTGTTGAAAGGCTTGAAACAGGTATCTGTTTGTAGTGTAGCAAGCATCACTCCGAATTGTTAGCATCGTTTAAATATTTTCTGCAAAGAATGCAGATGTGTTAGGACACAAACAGATAGTTAGATTAGCAGGTTTCCACCATTGGGTGGTAAATTGATGTATGATAGGCTAGATGTCGACCAACAGTCTGCACACAGATAAGTCAAATCTGTAAAATGGATGTATATGCAACACCCAAGTCCTGGAACAAGACCAGATTCCAAAAGTGGATGAACAACCAGGACTTTCTGTTGGAGTTTACAGCCAGTGAATACAGCGAAGAAGAAGTCAGGGGCATGATTAATATTAAGAGTAAGTTAAGAGTAAGTAGGTTGCATAAGAAACAGTCTTAATCAACTGGATCTCTGATTCTTCGAGCCCTTTCTATGTGTACACATCAGAATAAGGAGACATTTATGATCTTGAGGTAAACGTATAATTGACTTATCCCAGAATAACTATCAGACCATGGGGTCAGCACTCATATGGGTCTGGAAAAAAAAGGAAACCACCACAGTATATCTCTTTTTTCCCATTATAGGTTTTTAGGTCCCATTTTGGGGAAGAAAAGAATAGATTCATCATCATCATGTAGCTGGTCGTTTGCAGAAAGGCACATGGTGGTCTACATGAAAGAAGCTGGGTCTCTAGTCAGCTCTCTTGCCTCTTGCACTTTTCTTCTCAAGGTGTCACTTACATCATGTACCCATCTTTGTGCTGGTCAGCCCCTGCCCTTCTGCTATTATTCTTTCCAATCTGCAGCAGCACTTGATTTGGCCAAAATATTTAAGTTTCTGTACAAGCTGCTGTTTATTTGACAGTTTTCATTGATGTTCAGATCTTTAAGGATGTCACTTTTTCTTTTCTACTTGGTCCATGGTCTTCTGAAATCCACTGCTCCCAAACTGAAATTAAATGTGTTGGGCTGAAAGCCACAGTTATAGCAGCCTAGCTGTAAACCTCATCATGCCAAATGGCAATTAAAGGATAAATGCTGAAACAAAACAAAAATGCTAATTTGGCCTGGACATGAAATCACACAGTGTTTATTTCTGTTCTCACCATTGGTGTTTCCCATCTCTTGCCCCCTCCCCTTTCCCCCCTCCCAACAGAAACAGATCCAGCACATCAAGAGCCTAGAAGCTGCAAGCAAGGGCAGTAATCACACTGTGTGGTTTGGCCATTTCCCCACATCTCTCATTGTGCACAACCCACCAGTTCTTAGACAAATTATGAGGTTGGTATTCTAATTTTTTTGCAGTCAAATAGTTTGGTATTTTCATGATTTGTTTGTACTCTTTTGTATATTTAAGTTGATTTGTGCTTGTAAAACAGAGAAAGAGATTAACATATTGTGTGCTAGAAAGTTGTATATAAATTAACATTTTGTTTGTTACACACAGATGACATGCTCTCTCTCACACACACATGCTCTCTCTCTCTCACACACATGCTCTTTCTCTCTCTCTCTCTCTCTCTCTCTCTCTCTCTCTCTCTCTCTCTCTGTGTGTGTGTGCATATTTATACATGATTACTGTGCATCCTACAAATATATTAAAGAGCAACAGTTGAGATTTTTGGCCATCCAATGGGAACTGCCACAGAGAGCCATGCTAAAGAAATACAAGGAAAGACCATGGGTAGAATGGATCGACGACATCAAGAACAGCCTTAAGGAAATTAAGACCAACCTATTAAGTGCATTAAAAAAAACACACGGAAGATCCTTACATCTCCCCCCAGTATTTCAGTAAAGTAACTAGAGGAAGTGAAGTTGAAGCAGCAGCATTCTACAAAACGATATATGCTGTACTCCTTGTCATAAAGTTACATATTAGTTATTTTATCTATAATTTACACATGATTTTATCTAATAATTGATAGATGTTTACTCTCCATTATAGCTCTGCTATTGCTTATCTGTGTGGTCATCTTCACACTCTGAACAACCTTGTGCCAAAGATGTACAGCAGACATAAAACTGGGCAGTTGGAGCTAGAACTCGGAGATTGGAAGGACAACAGAATGTGAGCAGACCCTGATAATTTACTTTTCAGGGAACTGAAATTGCTAATTTATTGATTATGATACTGTTGATTTTTTATATTGTCAACGTAATGATACGTGAAATTAGATTGTATAACAGTCAGGAAGTAAGCAAAGGATTGATTTCTTTGCTAAATACTGTTGAAGTCAGGTCATTGACTGAGCTGCAATACATCAACTGTCAATACCACCTATTCTCACGCACTAGAGAAGATGCTGGTTTTATCATTGGAAGAGGAAGTGCAGTTTGAAAGCTTAATGTTATGGCAGGACAGACCAAAATCTTATTCTTGGTTAGCCACAGGTCTAGTAGAGAAGCTCTGATAGGCAGATAGACAGCCTGCTCTTCTCGTCTGACAGCTTCTGCAGCATGCTTTGTTCCCAAAATATGTATTTCATCTTTCCTTTGGAACAAGTGAGGCAGACAGTGAGAGAGAAAGGGATCATGCATGGGCATAGTATCTACAATACTGCCTAGGCTTTCTGCTATGGATAGGAGGAACTTATCTCTAGCCTTAATTGTGATTCCCATACCTCTCTGTTGTGCAACACTGTTGTCTGAAAGACAGAAAAGTACTAAAAAATAAACAAAGAAACATAGGAAGATTGCCATATAGTTTTCATAAACCAGTGGTACTTACTGGGAGATGTAGTCATTGCAACACAGGTGGAAAAAACTTCTTTGTTCTCATTTCAAAACTTTGTTAACCTGAGAGCCCAGTTTAATATTTTACAAAATCTTGATGAAGATTTGAACCTGAGGCTGTTGTACCAATGGCAAACATGCTAACCACTGCGCCATCACAACTGCCCTTCGGCATAGACCGGGAATATTTATTAATAATAATTGTTTAAATTGATATCTCACTTACCAGCTCCCCTCTAACCCCCTCCAACTCAACACCCCTGATTTCCAGTATAATGAGATTAGATTCTTGGGTGACAAATAGGAAGTTCCTTGTGCAAACTGAGAAAATATTAAATGCAGTTGCAAATTGTCAACAGTAGGCTTTGAGGTTGTTGCTCTGGCAAATTGGTTGTGAAATTACAACTTATCCATGAATAGATGGATGGATTTTTGACACACATTGAGTATGTTTGAACTGTTAGGTGACAATCTGTGATACTTCTTCTTCTTCTTAGCATTCATTGGCTGTAAATGTAAACTCCATCAGATAGTTCTGGTTGTTCATCCACTTCTGGACTTGTGGTTTTGTCCTAGAACTTGAGTTTTGCATACACATTTATTTTACAGATCTGGCTTATTTGTATGCAGACTGTTGGTTACTTGCCTCTCCAGTCTCTCCATTTTCGAAGGAAATTTCTCTTAGGACATACTTATGTGGTGGCTGAAGTTCCTGGAATCCACATGAACACATCTGTGATACACATTTTGAAGGCATCTGAAGAAAGTTATCTTTTGTAAGATGGTCCGTAATTGCAAAGACTGAAAGAGGTAACATTTAAAATAATAAAGTGTGTAACTTATGTGTGGGGATTATAATATAGCATTTGCAAAAGATCTGTTAACATGGTGGTGAAGATTCAATCTTTACTTACTATTCACAATGTTTACTTACCATTATTAGAATATATGTGAACTGTATATTCTTTACATGAGTAAAGGACATCAGAAACCAGAGCCTGCATTTACTGGCTGTGGTTTTACTAGGTAGTTTTATGTTCAGTAGTTTGGCATTGCTTCCTGAAAAGTACAAAGCTTGTACTGTTGTCAGAGTTAATAAATGCCATCTTCAACCACATTACACCTAAATAACAATTTATATTACTTGACTTCAACTTGTCACGGGTCACTATCTTTATAAATATAATTTAGTTATGTATACATACGTGTGGACACCCCACGCTTTTATTAGTCATATGAAATTGTAGTAGATTACTTTTTGTAAAGATAATTCTCTAAACTTGTGTATCCTATAAATTATATGATAAAGTATACATACAATATACATTTGATAAAACACATCATCATGAATATATTATGTCCAATATACCATATTATAAATTATCTTATACCTTTTTAGTGCACTTTTTATTGTATGCAAGATAAGTAATAAATAATTGCTAATAGTATAAAAAGATTATTTATTTTTTTTGTGTGTATTATTTTTACTTCTAATGCAGATTTCGAGTTATGGCCTTTGATCATGACCTGATGTCGTTCACCGATGCAAAATTAGGTACCTGGCCTATTGTCATCATCACCAACCCCAAAAATAACCAGTTCTATTCCCCACATGAGCCTCTGGAGCTGATTGCATCATCCACACTTATCAGGTGAGTGCTGGAGACCTAAGTGTTGAGTAAATGAATCAGTCAAGTGAGTGAACTTCCCTTCCCCGCACCAGTGGTACATTGGGCATATGGTGCTAGACTTATATTTGTATTGACCAATCAGCGTTACGATGGGGCTGTACTTGGTACCCATTTATGGCTAATTAAGTCTGGGAGCCAACAGTACTCATGCACAAAAATTTGATTTGATGTAGAAGATTTGAACACAAGACCTTTGATCCAGCAGGTGAGTATGTGTCTGCTTTGTCACTGCGGCTCCCAAGTGTTGAGTAACTGGTAAAAACTATCGCTTGAAAATGTGTAAAAACTCAAAACTGCACAGTTGAAACTTCCTCTGCAGTACATTGTGTTTGATAACACACATGTTGATTATCCGGTTTATTTGGAAATGTGGTTAAAACCCTAAAAATAGTATGTTTGCAAGGTTTACAGAGTTACTGAGTGTTGTTTTGAAAACAGTATGGCCACCGATCAGTATTCTACACGCATGCCAGCATGATTTATTATGGCTTTAGAAGCCTCGGATCTAAAAAGACACATGTTTGTCAGATGTATCCAAAGTTAGATGGAGAAAGTTGAGAAGTAGACTTGTTTTATTTAAAATTAAACTTTGTCGAGGGATAGCTCTGATATGTGCCTTGTGCAAAGTGTACAACGATAACGAAGTCAGCTGGTGCAGAGAGAATAAATATGAGCGAAAAGGCAATTTTTTAAATGTCAGTTAGTTCTAGTGCTATTCCCTTTATTATTTAGTAACATAGCTACAAAACTATAGGCAAACTAAGTGTTATATAAACTTTATTTTGTGTGATACTAATTGTTTTAGGAAGTCAAGTTCTCTTTATCAAATAATTGTGCTTCATTATGATACTCCAAAAGTTTCTCTGGAACTTCCTCTGCAGTACATTGTGCTTGATAACACACATGTTGATTATCAATTTTATTTGGAAACAGATTGAGTTTATATTTTATTTATACATTTCTAAGTGGTTCATTTTCATTTGTGTTTAATTTAGGATATATGTTATTGAGTTTTTCTTGAGCGCCATGGTGGTATATGGGAAAAATTATTATTTCATTTTACTAATTTCTCTAAACATTCAGTCTGTTTATTTCCTAATATTTACAGTTATTAGTACTCTGATATTCTTCCTCAACAATCCCTGGTCATTTTGATGTATAAAATGTCTATGTTGCACAGCTGTTGAATGGTCAGTTTTAATGTGTTACATTTGTGAAATTAAAAAAATTGCATTAACACCCCTTGGTGCCTGCCTCTAATGCTCAACCTCCTGGGACACAGAGTTAATGTCTGTTTACAAGGTCTTTGTACCTGCCTCAATGGCTAATGTTTTTATTTATTATTGTCTGTCTACAAAAGTCTGTCAGCCAGCAATAAGAGCTTCCTTTTTTTTGACTCATTAATATCTATCTACAAAGTTGTTACACCAGTAATAATGGCTACATTTTTAATTGATAATATCTGTCTAAAAAGTTTTTACAACCAGTAATAATGGCTACCTTTTTAATTGTTTAATATCTGTCTAAAAAGTTTTTACAACCAGTAATAATGGCTACCTTTTTAATTGTTTAATATCTGTCTAAAAAGTTTTTACAACCAGTATTAATGGATACCTTTTCAATTGTTTAATATCTGTCTAAAAAGTTTTTACAACCAGTAATAATGGCTACCTTTTTAATTGTTTAATATCTGTCTAGAAAGTTTTTACAACCAGTAATAACGGCTACCTTTTTAATTGTTTAATATCTGTCTTAAAAGTTTTTACAACCAGTAATAATGGATACCTTTTCAATTGTTTAATATCTGTCTTAAAAGTTTTTACAACCAGTATTAATGGATACCTTTTCAATTGTTTAATATCTGTCTAAAAAGTTTTTTACAACCAGTAATAATGGCTACCTTTTTAATTGTTTAATATCTGTCTAGAAAGTTTTTACAACCAGTAATAACGGCTACCTTTTTAATTGTTTAATATCTGTCTAAAAAGTTTTTACAACCAGTAATAATGGCTACCTTTTTAATTGTTTAATATCTGTCTAAAAAGTTTTTACAACCAGTAATAATGGCTACCTTTTTAATTGTTTAATATCTGTCTAAAAAGTTTTTACAACCAGTATTAATGGATACCTTTTTAATTGTTTAATATCTGTCTAAAAAGTTTTTTACAACCAGTAATAATGGCTACCTTTTTAATTGTTTAATATCTGTCTAGAAAGTTTTTACAACCAGTAATAATGGCTACCTTTTTAATTGTTTAATATCTGTCTAAAAAGTTTTTACAACCAGTATTAATGGATACCTTTTTAATTGTTTAATATCTGTCTAAAAAGTTTTTACAACCAGTATTAATGGATACCTTTTTAATTGTTTAATATCTGTCTAAAAAGTTTTTACAACCAATAATAATGGCTACCTTTTTTATTGTTTAATATCTGTCTAAAAAGTTTTTACAACCAGTATTAATGGATACCTTTTTAAATTGTTTTATATCTGTCTACAATGTGAATATACCAGCCATAATAACCAATTCGTTTCAACTTGTCCAAGTCTTTCTGCCAGCTGTAATGTATAAAATCTAAAAACACCAGTTCATAATTTCATTTTTCCCCCTCTATTCAGAATTCTGATTTTCAGTCATGTGAAAATTAAACAAGTGGAGGTTAAAATTGACAAGCAGCTAGAGGGATACGCTTATCAAGTGGATCCCAACCACCCTTTGTATGAGCTTCCCTGGTCTCCTGTACACTTTGCCTCTGGCACTCACACCATCGAAGTTTTCATTACGGTAAATGTTTGGATAGTACTAAATATAAGTAACACATCAAATACTATGTATGTGAATATCATAACACTGTATATTTTATATAGTGACCAGTTTTTATATATTGAAGCATTTCTGCTATTTAAACAATTGTAACAATGCCTATTGTTAAATTCACTGAGAAACGAAGACTGAAATGGTTGGCCACCTAATGGGAATGAATCCAAGGATGTTTGCATTGAGAGTTTACAACATGAAAATTGAGTGACAAAGGGAGACCTAGAAGAAGATGGATTGAAGGAGTCACTGACGGCTTAAAGCTTCACAGAATCACAGTATACCAAGCAACCAAGTGTGTTCTAGCTCAGCTACCTATCGTTCGTCAAACTGTGATGCCTAGTGACACAAAGTAGTGACAACAGAAGAAAGAAGAAAACATTGATATATATATTGTGGATTGTGTATACTGCCAGATCCCCATGTGCGTTCCAGGGTCTCATTGTGGGGAAAAAAAAAAAAGAGAATAGCCCAACTGCCCGTCTAATTGGCATGTTGTAAAAGTCGATTAATTAGGGATGTGTTATTCGAGGTCAGAGTGTATCAGCCTGAGAGATGAGGAGTCAAAAGTCTGCATACAAATACAACAGTTTTGTAAAATGACGTGCACTCAAAATTCAAGCCCTGGAACAACACAACTAGAGTCTAGAAGTGGACGAACAACCAGAACTTTCCGCTGCAGTTTACAGCTTGAGAACACCAAGAAGAGGAAGTATACTGCCAATAATATTTAATAAAGTCTTACATGATCCCACAGTAGCTTAATGGTTACCTGCCAACCTGAAGGTCTGGGGTTTAAACCAGCATCAGGGTTGCATTTTAATTATATATAATTAACCTGGGCGTTCAAGCTGACCCAGCCTAAAAGGGCATTAGAAAATGTCTTTGGAAGTTCAGCCTGCTGAAGTGATGTTAGCATAGTGGTCTTTACAATTATAGGTCTTGCACTACATGCCTCATGCATGTTTGCTGATATTTTAAATTGTATGCCTTTTTAATATCTGTGCACTTGACTGCTATGTTAAAGTTCCATTTCTCTGTTTCTCTTGCAGTTCTGGGTTTTTTTTTTCTGTGCTGATTCTCATATTATTTGTTTTACATTTTTGATTCATTGATATGAGATGTTGTTGTAATTTCCTCACTGTAGCTTGGACTCTTTGCTAATGAAGGAATAACAGCCGATGACTAAAGGTCTTGTCTGTGTATAGTTAAAGCATATAAGCACTTCTTAATTAATTTTTCTGTGTTTAAAACAATTTGTTTGGTTGTATTTATAGTCAGGAGTCTCCTGACAAAGTGGTCATGCAATTTGCTCTAAAGTTAGTAGATTCATCTACAGACCACATCCTTCCTCTGTGAGAGCTGCAGTTTTTGCTTTGTTGGGCGTTCGCAGCATGCTGCTGCCTCTCTGTGGAGAGAGACTGAGCCAGATGGAATAAAACTCAGTGTGATGAAGTCAGTTCTCTTACCTCTAATCATCTATGAATTTATTATGATTTAGTCTTAAAGTATGTGTTTGTTGTACAGGATGTGAAATAGATTGTCTTGTTGTTTTTTCAATTCGCATAGGATGCACATAGGATGAACACAACAGTTTCACAACATTTCTCAGTTGATGGATCAGAGATGCACTTTGATTTTGTACCTCGCCTCATCTTAATGCTGAATATTTACTCTGCGGTAAGTATAGAGTTAGAGACGAAATTAAGCAAAGATGCCTTGTTTATTTTATTTCACAGATTTTCTGTAATTCAAATGCCACAATTCCAGCAAGTACTTTATGCATATAAGTTTTATACGCAACCACCTCATAGTGTCTTCTTCACTGTAGAAGGCCATGTAAAAATTCCACTCCTGTCATGAAACCAGCAGCCTTGGTGAACATGCTCTCCTGTTTGTTCTCTCCACATTTACACATACCAATATTATGTTCATTATTGCATTTTGCTTGTACAGGCACCTTGACTGTATTATGTGTGTCTCCACTCACAAGGGTAGATATGGCTGAAAGGCTATAGTATCTGAGGTGAAGAAGTTACCTGTTAAAAATTACACTGAGTTGAAAATTTTACACCACCACACCCCCACACTCAAATTTGTAAAATGGATATGTATGCAATACTCAAATCCTTGAACAAGACCAGTCTAGCTATGGCTGACCAACTAGGACTTTCTGCCAGAGTTCACATTTGACAAACACCAAAGAAGAAGAAGAAATTATATTGCATGCCTGCCTGATCACTTTGGTTTGCGAAATCAGACTCTTAATCTCACATAAGATGAAAAACTAACAGAGAAAGTCCTACATTCCAAAACTCAAGGCAGTTGAAAATATCAATGATTAGGCCACAAGGTCTCATCCCTGGCAATATTTGTGAGAAAGAAAAACTAGTCATGCATAGACAGAACCACTGGTCTGGTAGTAGTCTTAGTTTCAGCTTCATAGCAAACGGATCACCCCATCTTTGCTCCTCTCCTGTGCCAATGAAAAACACACAGAATGTTTATCACAGTCCCTTGTAGAAAGATTGACAGACTGCTGTCTCAGCATATCTAGCATACACTCGCATTAAAGCATACGGTAGCCATCTGAAGTGCTAACACAAACAGTCCGACATTAGAAATGCAGTTCATCATTAATGGTAGCAGAAGTCACCAACAGATCAACAGTTGCCCACGCGATCAATTTTAATCACCCACGGGCACCACCAACTTTGCACGACAGGCATCGCGCCATTTTTGAATCTACAATTCACACCACCACGTTGGTCACAGTCGCAAAAAACATTCCAAATTAAATCCGCAGCTCAGTGTCACGCCATGCATTCCACTCAGAAGCTGGGCGACGAAACTATAACAAGGCTACAAATGGAGCAAAAATGCATCGGCCACCGTCCGACAGAAGCAAAAAATTTGCCTCGGCTTTGAACAGTGCCCCTGCCTAGCGTCCATTTTGACCGGAAAAATCAGACAGAACCACTTGTATTGGTAGGCAAGCATACCAGCCACTGTCAGTGGATCACCAACAGAGGAGTAGCTGGCTGAGTAGTTAGAATGTTGAGCTCTTATGTGGGAGACCCGGATTTGAATTCTTAGTAAGGTGACGAGTATTTTACTCTGGGTGAACCAATTTTTAAAAAATCCTTACCCGCACAGTTGGTGGCAACTGCACAATCCATGCATCCCTAAATCCTCCAGCTCAAGATCCCCTGTCTGATGTGAGGTTAAACAGTCGTGTACAGGGCATAAAAACTCCTTGGGTGAGCCTAGGACCAGAGTGTCATGTGTCGGCTCTGCATTTAATCATGTACAACACAGTTACATCACTTGGACGAATGATAAAGAAGAAGATCCCCTGTCCTACACTGCCCTAACAGGTGGTACTAAATGCAGGAGAGACAGTTTAGTTAATTAGGAATACTAGTCTCGGAATTGAAGAGTATAATTAAGCATGGTATGATTTCCTTGACATGTAAACAAAGAAGGAAAAGAAGTTGCCACTTAGAAATATATAACTGTTATTATGTTTACAGGGAAAACTGATCTTCAGCCTGCTGGTTTTCTTCTATGCCCTAGTGCTGACCTCACTGAGACAGTTCACGTACATTCGTGTCTGCTATTTACATGGTATGTATTTTTCAGATACGGTCTGTTTTTTTTTCTCCCCTGGTTATTCAAGAATATGTTTTAACTCATTTGATAACACAGTTTGACATTTTAATTCACCAAGATTGAGAAATTAGATCAATCAGTGGTATACTCCAGACATGGCATTTGGTTGTAGGTAAAAGTCCTTCTAGATATCATGGCTAATATGGACTTTAAATCATCATTCAAGGAACATAAATTAGATTATAGCAGTCTAGAAGGTGGAAACAATGGAAAACATGAAGCATTGGTAGGATTTACAAAATTACAATAGCAACAACAACAATAAAATTGCACACATGAGTGTGCACACACAGGTCTTTGCAAAGATATGCTTTCATAAACAGAGGATGCATCACAAAACAAACAGTACTACCACTGAAATTCCGAGAAAAAGCTATATCATTGGCTCATGACTCCATATTTTCAGGACATCTGGGAGTTACAAAAACTAAATCAAGAGTATTATCATCATTCTTTTGGCCGGGATATTCAAAAGATATCAAATCATACGTCCAATCATGTGATATCTGCCTACGAACGTCAAAAAAAAGGTGAGACACCAAAGGCGCCAGTTCAAAGCGGACAGCTAGCTTCACGCCCATTTCAGGAAGTGGCAGTAGATATAATAGGCCCATTATCAGTAGTTTCTGCTAAAGGTAACAGATATATCTTTACGCTTATTGATCTTGCCAGTCGATGGCCTGAGGCTTGGCCACTAAGAACAATTACTGCTGAAGATATCCAAGAAGTGTTGCTACAGATATTTTCACGAATTGGATTTCCCGAAGTAATAATATCGGACAGGGGAACGCAATTCACATCAGTGGTAACGAGAGCAATTACGGATTTGTTAGGGATAAAACAACAATTCACGACACCGTATCATGCTCAGGCAAACGGATTAGTTGAAAATTTAAATAAAAGCATTAAGAAAATGCTAGGCCGCATAACTTATGAACATCCGTCAACATGGGACATTTTGCTACCCGCAATATTGTTTGCATATAGAGAAGTTCCACATATAAGTACAGGAATGTCACCTTTCAAAATTGTCTATGGGGCAAATCCAAAAGACCCAATTTCTTTGTATAAGAAATTAATAACAGGAACAGTAGAAAACAGTGCAACCGGAAATAATTACCAAGCTGTAATTGACTTAAGAAATAAAATAATAACATCATGTGAGGAAGCAAAGGCAGCACTACAAAATTCAGGAATCTGGCAAAGAAGATAGGCAAACAGATCAACACGACTTGTAAAATTAACACCAGGAGATGAAGTCTTAGTATTGTTACCAGCAAAGTCAGACAGACTATTAGTTGAATGGTCAGGTCCGTACAAGGTGACCAGAAAAATATCTGATGTGGATTACGAAATCCTAAAGAACAACAAAAAGAAAATTTTTCATCTCAATATGTTAAAGAAATACATTCGAAGGTCAGTGATAGACGAAAAGAAGAGGTACAAGTATCAAATGCATGCAACGTAGTGGACGAAGAAATGATAGATGCAGTAGAGGACGAAATTCCTACTCTAGAACTGGAGAAAAGTAAAGATTGGAGAGACATCAAAATAAACTCACAATTAAATGAACAAGATAAAAATGCAGTTCAAAACATCATTTCAAAATTCAAGGAGATATTCACTACAAAACCTGGACGAACAAATTTGATAGAGTATGAAATTCAGTTAAAGACAGATATCCCAGTTAGATCACGGAATTACACGATACCTCTGCATTATTTGGACAAGGTCACAAACGAAATTAAACAACTCCAAAAAGACAAAATAATTAGAGATTCAACTTCTCCATATAGCTCACCATTGGTGATAGTAAAAAAGAAAGATCAGTCACTTAGATTATGTGTAGATTACAGGAAACTCAATAGCATCACAGAATTAGATTCAGAACCAATTCCAAGCACAGAAGATATTCTTCAGAGTTTATATAAATCCAAAATTTTTTCAAAACTTGATTTATGTGAAGGTTACTGGCAAATACCAATGGCAGAGACATCAATACAATATACCAGCTTTCAATCACCATTAGGCTTAAAAGAATGGTTACGAGTTCCCTTTGGAATTTTAAATGCGCCAAAAATTTTCACCAAAATGATAAGAAAACTGTTAAACAACGTTGTAAACGTAGTAGCATACATGGATGATATCTGTATTCATACTGACAATATGCCAAAACATCTCCAAACGTTAAAGAAAGTATTTCAGAGAATTCAAGAAGCAAATCTTACGGTAAATCCAACCAAAACTGAAATTGCGTTCACAACTATCGAATTTTTGGGACATAAAGTGTATGATAACAAAATACAGACAGACGATAAAATAGTATCAAAAATATTAAAGATTGAAAAACCAAAAAATAGAAAACAACTACAGTCGTTGTTAGGTCTTATTAACTCTTACGGAAAGTTTATCCCCAATCTTGCAGACCTAACCTTTCCGTTATTTGAACTGTTAAAAAAGGGACAACCAACAAAACTAAAATGGGAGCAACAACATGACGAATTGTTACAAAAAATTAAAGAAACTTTTTCCACATTCCCAATTCTTAGACAGCCAGACAAATCAAAAAGATTTTATTTACAGTCTGATGCGAGTTTGCATACCATAAGTTCAATGCTAGCTCAGTTACATTCTAATGTTTTATTACCTGTATATTATATGTCACAAAAACTCACCCAAGCGCAACAGAAATATAGTGCGTTCGAGCGAGAGGCATTAGCTATAGTGATCAGTTTGAAAAAATTTCAAAAATTCCTAATCGGCAAAGAATTTACAATCATCACAGATAATCTTGCATTGGTAAAACTGCAGAACATAGATGCTAATAAAAATGCTAGAGTTTACCGCTGGGCATTGTTACTGCAACAGTTTAAATTTGACATTATGCATGTAAAAGGGGTTGACAACCACATTCCAGATATTATGTCTAGGTTATAAAGATAGTAAGCAGAAATAATCACAAGGGGATTTAAATAGAAAAGGGAGACAATTATAGGTAACAGTCTAACATTACTAACGAATGTTTAATAAACGTGTTGTTACTAACAATTAATATTCAAATAAAATAAATGTTGTATGATGTGATGATATGAAAGTTATGATGTGAAAGTGATAATGAGGAATGGTGTATGAATTTAAAAATAAAACTGAAAGATGGTGTATGAGTTTATAAAAAACCAACAGACACATTAGGTTATAATAGAAATTTTATTAACAGGCAATTACAGATGTTACATTGAAATATCTATGATAGTGTACAAACAGAAAATGAAATTGCCACAATGCTAAAATGAGAAAATTCTGGCAAAGTTTTGGTATAGACCATGGTGAATGACGAAGACCAACAAGGAGTAGCAATCACTTTGAATGAACTGTCAACAGGAACTTGGTTCTATGGGGGACATACAGAACTGTGTGATTTATAAGTCTGGTTTTGGAGCCATTTTTGGACTTCCGCGTTGTTGAGGAACGCTTTGGGGTGTTGTTCAGTCTTCTTTAGGTAGACTGACTTCAGGACTTGATAAGTACGTCACAGAGCCTATAAGGTCATCCGCGTTGTTTGAGGAACTCTTTGGGGAGGTGATTCTGTTAGCATATTGCCAAGAACTGTCAAGGGGAGTGACAAGAGATGCTGCATATGTTGTACAAGTCAGAGAACCGATGGTAGAATTCCAGCCAACAGTAAAAAAAAAAATATATTAGTAAAATAAGGCAATATATTCTTATATGAAAATTTATATAGGTTTATGGAAAAAAAAAAAATATTGCATATTTTTTTTTGTTTAAGGGGAGGAGAGATGTAATGATGTTATAAATAGGGATAATGTCAGGGGATGATTGGCATAATTGGGGAAGTCCCTGAGAGCATGGGTTTCACAGAGATATGGTGAAACGACAGGAAAGAGTGAGTCACGTGTGAATCGGGAGATCTGGGGGATTGAGAATCAGGCGGTCATTCGGTGACTGGGCCCCAGAGAGAAAGGATGGGAAATAAAGCTGTGAAGATGAATGAAGAATGACGAGAGCATGTGGATCTGAATCGGCGAGGAATGAATGATCGAGAAGGCCAGCTGTGATGGTACCTTGTTTGATTGTTAAAGCCAGCCGTGAATATGTCAACGTCTATTGCCCGAATGCTGTAAGTGGATTCTCCTGTGATTCGTGTATTGTGCTATAATGATATTAAACTCGTGAAATGTGCCGCTGGTGTCAACCGTTGTTAGAAGTTGTGTGACCGTGAAGAAGATCATGTCTGCTTTGATTGAGTTGTGAACCTCTAGACATCAGAGCCAGTGTTAACTCTGCGCCACAGATAGCCAGTGTGGAGGAGATATAAAAGGGCAGTTATTACAGGGAGTGATAGACTATCATAAAGAGGGAATGATAGGCTGTCAGAAACAGGGAACAGGAAACAAGCCACATGCAAAAATAAATAACAAATGCAGCAGTTGTACTAAAATAACAACATTGAGGCATATTAACAATAATAATAATATGCAAGCATGTGGAATACAAAGGTAGGTTGTGGCAAATTTTCTTTGGAGGTTTTAAAAAAAATCATTACTTAAAGAGATGAGGATACACAAAACAATATTTTGCCTACCTATCCAATAACTGTCTTAAAGGAGGAAGAAGACGAGAGATAACAAACCATCAAGTTGAAAAGGGGCAATTTGGAATTGACCAGCAAGCGGATAACATGAAAGTTAGAAACTAATGAATATGAGGGAAGTATCAGTAGCATTAAGAGCAGGGTTAATTAACTGGACAGCTTAGTGACAACTGATAAACTTAATGGTAGCAGATCAGAGGGAGAACAAAAAGATGGAATACCTGGATGTTTTGGCCACATTGTATATTTAAATAATGAACATCGAACCTGATTCAAGACAAATAAGGTTGAAGCTAAGAGGATCAACTTTATTGCACTGTGTTTGATCCAGAATGGCTTGATATGGTTTGATCTCACTGCACGGAACACTAGCCACCTGCCAAGAGCGTCAAATAAAGCACAAACTTCATAGCTTGACCACTCCCACCATTTCAAGAAAATAATCATGTGATATTACGAACACACAATCTTTCTCACTTATTGGTGAGGCACAGGGGGATAAAGGTATTAACATTTACAGTATATAAAATCTTCTTACAGCGCAATTTGTGGCACTGGTAATCATGTCTGTCTCATGTAATTTCATTCAGACACATTTCTTACTTGTTCTCCATATCAGCTTCCTAGTGCATCAGTCTGACCCATTTCAATCATTTCTGACACAGATAATCTTCCACGCCATGATGTCAGACTGTCTAGTGTCTTCTCTCTCAGTCTCCCTCTGTGTGTTTTCCCCTTCCAACTTTTCCACTGTGATTATATGTTCCTGTTTTCTCTTTTTCATGACAAGACCAAAGGTGTAGATTAACTCCTTCTGATATGGGCAATCAGATATCATTGTGAGTCACTTTCTATCAAGACATCTTCATTACTCTTTATTTTTTTTTTAAACTGTCCTGGGTGTTCTCATCAATCATCTATAAAACATCTCTGCTGCTTCTATTTAATTTTTCACTAATTGGCTAAGTGTCCATGATTCACATCCATATATATTAGGATAGGATTGATATAGCTCTCTAATGTTAAAAATTTAATGAGAAATGTATTCTTGCAATTTTCTGACACCCAAAATTATTCCTAAAATTATACAATTTATGATTGTATGCAATTAATTATGACAAATGTATTGTTTTGAAAGGAAGCCATGGAGGAAAGCAACAGAAGCGTTTCACTTATTTCTGTTGTTCAGGTCGAGTGTTTGTTACATCGTTTGTGAATGCCTGGATCATGAAGCTATGGCTAGCAGCTCGCTCAAACGTCTCCTATTACATTCTGATAGGATCTGTCCTGTACTTGACATTCGGTGAGTGCAACTGGATGAATGGATTTGCTAAATCTTGTTTGATAGCTGCCAGAGCCCACTGACTAGACACTCAACTACTTATTGGTCGGAAGGTATTGGTTTTGAGTCTGTATGGAGGCTGATTTTTTTCTTCAGAATTGGCTCCTAAGTCGAACCAGGCTTTAATGGGGACCCGGTCGTCTGCTGGAAAATAAAAGCGGCCGTGTTATGTTGACCACATCAGCCACTGAGTGGTATATAAAAAATATAAGTCTAGCAACATAGGCCCAGTGTGCCACTGGTGTATAAAGTGTCTTGCTTATGTGCACCTAATTGGGCAGTAGTGTAAATAAAGATTTGGTGGAAGGAGGGAGGTAAAGGTAATGCATAAAACATGTATGATTAGTTTATGAAACTAATGAAACCTTCAACTCTGTTGCCCCGTGAAGCACCCAGAAACAACTGTAATGTCATCAATCCATCTTCTCCTAGGACAGCCTCTTGCTTTCACATCAGATCCATTCATGTGCAGTGCCTGCATTGGTAGTTGTTCTGGCTGCATTCTTACTAAATGACCAAACCATTTGATCTTCTGTTTCTCAATGAATCTGCTGCATGGAGTTGTTCCAACAGTCTGTCTGATAGTATAATTTCTAACTTTGTCTCGGATGGTTGAGTTGGTGGCTTTTCTCAGGCATATCATTTCACAGGTGGTAATTTTATGTAGGTCAGTCTTTGATAATGTCCAACTCTGGCACTGGTAGTACAGTGTTGGTATGAATATGCTGTTTATAATCTGTTTCTTGGCGCTCATACTTATGTTTGGATGTTTTAATAACAGTGTCAGTTGGTATATAAGTGCACTGGCTCGTTGGCATCTTGTTTCTGTTTCCTGATCTATTCTTCCAAACCCAGAATATACTTCCTAGATATTTAAATTCTTTAACTTGCTTTAGAAAGGTACCATTCAGCATGATATGTAGCTGACTAGGAATTCTGCTGACACGCATTACATCAGTTTTAGTATTATTTATTTTCATGTTATATCATCTGTTCAGATGTTCTTGAAGTCTACTCCCCTCATTGTAAAACAGGCACTGATCATCAGCAAATAGTAGCTCATTTATTGTGTGTGGATCGAATTCTTCCTCTGGAAAGTAAAGTTCCTCATTTTCTAAATGTTCTCGGTCGACTACTTTAAAGCTGGCTTCTTTGGAAATTCTATCTATGTATATAATAAATAAGAGAGGAGACAGCACTATCCCTGCCTCATCCCTGTATTGATTGCAAACATACCAGATATGTCTTCTTCTGTTATCACTGCGCTTTGGAAAGTGTGGTACATATCCATGATGTTATCTAGCAACTGTCCTTGTATCCCATAATCCTCAAGAAGAACCCAGTTTTGTTCTGTCTACTCTGTCAAATGCTTTATCTTGATCTACAAACACAATATTCAGTACATTGTCATATTCAGTGGTTTTCTCACACAAAATTTATTAGTACCCTGTGTAAATTTTGTCCTGAATTCCCATGGATTTATGACACATTTGTTCAGCATTCCCTGGGTGACAGGTTCAAATCTCAGAAAAATGTTATCTAAACTTTCACCTTCCACTCCTGATTTGTAATCCAAAATGGCTACTGGTAATCTTGTAATGTTGGGAGTGCCCTCTGTATATTGTTACCCCACACACACAAAAATCCAATGTTGCCAAAAAACACATTTTCTACAGCATTGGAGATATGATATTATTTTGAGTCTAACAGGAAAACTGGGAATGTTAATTTAATTCAAACACTGGTTGTTGCTCTTCTTCTTCAGCATTCTGAACCCTTGAAGTTCATTGAGGAATTTATCCCTGCCCCAACTCATCTCTGTGACTGTTTTATATATATAAGTCGATGCGAACGCTTCGTAATGCCGGGTTTGATCCCAGCTGTGGGCCATACGCCTTGCTTTGGTTTTGACAGTGGTATCAAGAAAGCCGACCATCCAGAAAGCAATAGCAAACTACTGGATGTAAATTTGCCCTAGAAAAACCACACAACAACCAGGGGCTGTTAGGGTTGGTTCTGCAACGTCCTGTAAGGGATATGCAACTAACCTTATATAATAAACAAACAGACAATGTACTGATTGGCACTTATAAAAAGAAGTTTTTTTTATTTATCTCTGTGACTGGCTGTCTCTTTGCACATGTTTGTTGGGGTGCTTGGATATTATCTCTCCACACTCTTCTGGTCTGTCTTGTGGCCTAGGGCCATTCAACTCTCTTGTGTGCACAGTTTTTGCCTATCTGACATTCTCTCTCTCTATGTACCCCAGCCATTTTTGTCTATTAGCCCTTGTTATGCCAATGATCTGTTGTGGTTTAAACAGATTATGAATTTTATTGTTGCTTCTCCTTCTCCATTCCCCACTGTTGGTTAATTCAAACACTGGAAATCATATATTATTTTCAAATATAAGATTTACTTGAATTTTATAGGTAATTGCACAAAGAATGATTGTGGGATGTTTTTTCTTGTTCAGTAATTGCCCAGAAAACGCAACCATGTAAAATGTTTAGTTGATACAAATATATTTTTTTAGTAATGTTTTCTTTTGTTGTTGTTGAAACAATTGAGGTCATGTGTTAAATTGTAATGACTAACTTGCTTTTAATCTCCAGGACCTTGGTTTGTAGGTTACCTGCTCAGTGATAAAATTGGAGTGGTGTTTGTCTGGGGCATTCTTGTGGAAGGCACATTTCTGCCTGGAGGAATCACGTACTTCTATGGTATTTTTCAGGTAGGCAGTAATGTCTGTTATTTGATACTTCAGCAGTGTTTAGACCTAATATTAATGATCTCATCTTGATTTGTCTTGAGCCTTGTCATGTTGAGGGGAAGTTAATCAGCAAATCAAAGCTCCAGCTTCAAGGCAAACAGGTAAAAGATATAAATAACTGGAAAGTATCTTTTTATGTACTTTGTGCATATGGAATTCCTGGGACTTTTAATCAGAATGACGTTTAATCAGAATGCTACTGGCACCATTAGTATCGGAACTCTTCACTGGCTGCTGAAGATGGGGACAGAGTGATTATGGGAATGCCCTGAGTGATGTGATGTCAGTTCTTGAATTAACTCAACTCAGGGACTTCCAGTGACCTCTGGCAATAAGTCACAGTCAGCCACTCTTTTGATGCCCATTTGGTCTTTTTTTTTTAAAAATTTTTTAGCCAAAAACTGTTTGAACCAGGCTATTCACCATATATTTAAATCTTTCGGTACCAACCATAGTTAATTTAATTCTTTTTACAAGAAGTTCTACTTTAAAGCAGCCATTGTTTGAATAAAAGAAGTTGAAATAATAACATTGTGAAGCAGAAAGTGCTAAACTAACAAATCAGATGAAGTGAGTTCATGTGAAAAATGTCTGTGTTATACCTTAGTCATTTTTTTGTGGGATGCAATTTTTCTTTATTTGAAGCCCTACTCTGTCTCATGCCACGGGCCGCAGTACAGCCCGGCCATAAATATGGTCTAATGGCTGAACATGGTTTCTGGGACCTCTCCACGGGTGATCCTCATCCACATGGTGGCAGTTTGTGTCATCGGGTGTTTATTGCTTGTGTGATGTCCTGGTGGGTTAAAGTAAGATAGAGATAGAAACTGCCTGTGATAGAAGAAGGTCATAACGGTGAACTAACGTTAAACAAAGCTTTCTGTGTGGGTTATATGGCTCCATTTTAGAGAACAAGATTCGACCCACTGCCCTCTGACAAGCACGTCACAGGAGGCGACTCACTGGGGGTTTTTCATTCAAAGTTGGGGTACTTCTGTCTAAAAGGCAAGGAATCAACCGTCTGCTTACAGATAATCCAGATCTGTAAAACGGATCTGCACACAAAATTTGAGTTCTGAATCGAGACCAAAGTCCAGGAGTGGATGAACAACAAGAATTGTCTGCCAAAGTTGGTGAGCGCTAACCCCACAATTGTCATTAAATCCATTTTAAGCCTGACAAAACTATATCTAACTAAATGGGTTGATGAGATGAAAAATGCATCAAAAACATATATATATATATATATATATGATCACAGAAATTGAAATTCTTAGAAACAAATTAGTCAGTTTATTTCTACAGCCCCATTAGAGTGTGTGTGTGAAGAAGAGGATAGGATCCTACAGGAACATAGCTAACATTGAGTTTGCTTCACTGTGGTTGAATGGGCCATATTTTTGTCCTGTACATAAAGTAGATGTCGCAGTGGCTTGTACATTGGTCATCCATGACTGTGTTTAGAATTGTAAGCCCAGCAAATGAAGGGTAATGGTTTTCTAAAACTAGTAAATCACCAATGCATTCTAATGTCAATTTGGTTACTGCTGGTTACTGCTGTATGGATTGGAAACGTGAGTAATGACTAAATTACAAACATTCATTAACTGGTGGCTGCACAGAAAAGAGGGAACCAAATGGTATGATAGAGTCACTAATGTTGAGCTTTGGGAGAGAAACTAAACTAATTCCAGTGAATCAAAAGGTTAAGAAAAGACGCTAGCTTTGGATATAATATAACTAAAATGTCTTTCCACTGGAACCCACAGGGCACAGAAGTAGAGGCAGACCCCCAAAAAACAGAGAGAGGAGAGTTAGAGAATGAAGTTAGGGAGGACATGGGTTGAGCTGCATGCAATAGCAAAAGATGGATGAGTTGCCATGAAATTATTGAGGCCTATTCTCCATGGGGGGGGGGGGGGGGGGGGGGGGGGGGGGGGGGGGGGGGTAAAGGGTGGAAGAGGAGGAGGAAGAAGAAGAAGACAGTACGAATGTCAACCTAACCTTAAAAACTGGTAAAAATGCATTGAAAAGGTTAAGAATAGAAATCTTTGCAAAAATCTCTAAACATGAACGGTATTCTGTGGAATCTGTCTTTGTCATTGGAGGTGAGAAATAGAGTTCTCAACAGGTATACAGCACTAATCCTGCTGTACGTAAGTGAATCATGGACAGTCAGCTGATTAGTAAACAGTTATGTGAAGTAAAGGTGGCCGGCAAGTTCCAAAGAACCAAGAGGTGAAGAAAAGATGCTGGTAGTGGACACAAATTGAGAAAACCTAAGAACAATATAACCAGAATGTTGTTGCATAGGAACTCACAGGGACATAGAAATAAAGGAAGACCAAAAAAAACACATGGAGATTTGAGCTAGAGAGTGAAGTTAAAAAAATTAGGGGGATTAGGGGAGCGCTACATGAGATAGCAAAGGATAGAACGACTTAGTGTGAGTTGGTTGAGGACCCATACTGGGGGCTAGAAAGACCGAAGAAGAAAAGTTGAGATGTTGATGACATCACTCAACAAGTGCCAGGTGGTCTCTAGAAATATTAGTTTAGCATCTTATGCCCGAAATGATAGCGGCATAAGAAGGATCCTTTACATTTCTAATGTGGTTGCTGTGTAGTTGTGGTTTTATATAAACAAAGCTATGAACATGCACAGATACAAACAATACCAGAGATGTGTTTAGGGAAATTAACTCACAAAGAGATTGAATACCCACATCAGAAAGAGAAATGTTACATTCACTGAGTATGTTGTAAGAAAGTAAAAAAAAAAAAAAAAAAAAAAAAAAAAAAAAAAAAAAAAAACTTAAGTACATCATGAGAAGGGTAACATCGAAGGGGAAAAGGGGCAGAGAAAAACTAGGAGGGAAACTAGGAGTTTGGCATCATGACATGGATGAAGATCTGTATCAGAAATAACTAACAAAATACAAGGTACTTTCGTGATATCCTACCCCAGATGACGTCACAGGACAGTCCAACATTTTAGAGTGTGGTAAGACTGGGTTTCCCAGCTTTCTGATGCTTTTAATAACCCCAAAACATCTAGAACTGACCCTAACACCAACCCACCTACATCCCACGAGAGAGTGCAGCCTAGGTCCCACTACTACAAGCAGCCTAGGTCCCACGACTGCGTACAGCCTATCTGCCACCCTCTGAAATATTAGACTGTCCCGTGACCTGTGGATTTCATTTGTTTGGGGTAGGATATTAATAAAGCACCAAATACAAGATTGAAGCCGTAGACAGACATAATACCAATGCCACAGGAGAATGAACTATAAGACAAAGTCAGAGCTGTCACATTTGATATGACTGATAATGTTTTCCCAATGTGGGTTCTGGGGTCTCAATATGGGAGATAGAAAGAATAGACCCAGTGTTCCCCTAACAAGCTGACTGATTAGGGCTGTTTCCTCCAAAGTCTGATTAGCAGATCTATAAACACAGATGTGCATGCAAAACTCAAGTTCCGGAACAAAACTAAAGTCCAGAAGTGAACAAAAAAAAAAAAAATTACTTTCTGAGTTGAACACCAAGAAGAAGAAGAAGAAAATGATAATGTTTAAAAGTGCTAGAAACTGTTCTTCTCATTCATAACGACATATTCTGATGCTCTAGTTGAAGTAAAAAGCCACCCCATCAAGTCTTCATCACTCACGCACTTCATGTGGGCATACCTGGCTTTATATGGCCCTGGCGCAGTGTCCTTTGCTTTTTTGCAATGCATGTTTTAAATCCTCCACCCTAATTATATCCTCAAAATATTTATCATTTATTGTATTATACAATATTGTTTTTTGTCCCAACAGTTTCTGATGTTTAACGTGCCATTGACGCTGATATTAGGTCATCTGCTGGATACCAGACGTAAACATGGCCACAAGCTATCCCTGGGCCACCACTTGTCAATTTTGATTCCTGTGGGATTACTTCAGGTTTTCACCATCTACCTTGTTCTGACCGAGTTCCCTCGAGCTTATGGGCAGACTTCGTTGCTCCTGGGTCCTCTCAGAACTGGGAGCACCTTGCTGTTACCTTTGTCTGTGTTATGTGCATATCGTACTGATCTAAAACATCTATTAGCAGTAAATGGACCAACCTGAATTTTTTTGAAAGTGAAATTCCAGTGTGTTTTGGAAATCATATTCCCAAGTGTTTTGGAACTAATATTATGTTGTTTTATCTGATAGTGTGTGTGTGTGTATTACTTTTTAATTCTGTGATCTCATACAGCAGACCTGAAAGTCTGAACCTTAGACATAAATTTGACTATAAAAATGATATGCTGTGTTTTAATCTTTTTTCCTTCTGTACGTGAATTATGGCTGCTGAAAAATGTAAATAGTACTTTACATGACTTGTTAATGTGTGAGATTCTAAATTAAAAAAAACTCTCACTTTGTTTTTAAGTTTGTCATCTAAACCTACTGTAAAACAAGTCATGTGAAGTATAGGGCATGAGATAGTCATTGGATTTTCTTAGTTTTATCTATCCCAGTAATTTGTATAATTTAAAAATAGTGGACTATTTATCCTCAGGCTTGAAATACATTATTTCCCATGTGGGTTCCTGGGGGGGGGGGGGGGGGGGGATAGACTCATTGCCACCACTGTTAGTGTCTGGACACGGTGGGTTGTTGTAACACTCAGACTTGATTGTGGTTTGAAACTAATGGTGTTGTAGCATTCCGACTTGCCAGTGGTTGGACACCAAGGGTTGTTGTAACACTCAGACTTGATTGTGGTTTGAAACTAATGGTGTTGTAGCATTCCGACTTGCCAGTGGTTTGACACCAAGGGTTGTTGTAACACTCAGACTTGATTGTGGTTTGAAACTAATGGTGTTGTAGCATTCCGACTTGCCAGTGGTTGGACACCAAGGGTTGTTGTAACACTCAGACTTGATTGTGGTTTGAAACTAATGGTGTTGTAGCATTCCGACTTGCCAGTGGTTGGACACCAAGGGTTGTTGTAAAACCCAGACTTGATTGTGGTTTGAAACTAATGGTGTTGTAGCATTCCGACTTGCCAGTGGTTGGACACCAAGGGTTGTTGTAACACTCAGACTTGATTGTGGTTTGACACTAATGGTGTTGTAACATTCCGAATTGCCAGTGGTTGGACACCAAGGGTTGTTGTAACACTCAGTGATTGTGGTTTGACACTAATGGTTTTCTAACATTCCGACTTGCCAGTGGTTTGACACCAAGAGTTTTGTAACACTCAGACTTGCCAGTGGTTTGACACCTAATGGAGTTGTAGCATTAACACTGAGTGGTTGGACACCAAGTGGTTTTGTAACACTCAGACTTGATTGTGGTTTTGAAACTAATGGTGTTGTAGCATTGAGACTTGCCAGTGGTTTGACACCAAGGGTTGTTGTAACACTCAGACTTGAGTTGGTTTGAAACTAATGGGTTGTGCATTCGACTTGCCAGTGGTTTGACACCAAGAGTTGTTCTAACACTGAGACTTGCCAGTGGTTTTGACACCAAGAGTTTTGTAGCATTCCTGAGACTTGCCAGTGGTTGGACACCAAGAGTTTTCTAACACTTTGAGTGGTTGACCAAACTAATGGCTGATGGTTTGACACCAAGAGTTTTCTAACACTGAGACTTGCCAGTGGTTTGACACCAAGAGTTTTCTAACACTGAGACTTGCCAGTGGTTTGGACACCAAGAGTTTTCTAACACTGAGTCTTGCAAGTGATTGGACACCAAGAGTTTTCTAACACTGAGACTTGCAAATGGTTGGACACCAAGAGTTTTCTAACACTGAGTCTTGCAAGTGATTGGACACCAAGAGTTTTCTAACACTGAGTCTTGCAAGTGATTGGACACCAAGAGTTTTCTAACACTGAGACTTGCCAGTGGTTTGACACCAAGAGTTTTCTAACACTGAGACTTGCCAGTGGTTTGACACCAAGAGTTTTCTAACACTGAGACTTGCCAGTGGTTTGACACCAAGAGTTTTCTAACACTGAGACTTGCCAGTGGTTTGACACCAAGAGTTTTCTAACACTGAGACTTGCCAGTGGTTTGACACCAAGAGTTTTCTAACACTGAGACTTGCAAATGGTTGGACACCAAGGAGTTTTCTAACACTGAGACTTGCAAGTGATTGGACACCAAGAGTTTTCTAACACTGAGTCTTGCAAGTGATTGGACACCAAGAGTTTTCTAACACTGAGACTTGCAAATGGTTGGACACCAAGGGTTTTCTAACACTGAGTCTTGCAAGTGGTTGGACACCAAGAGTTTTCTAACACTGAGACTTGCAAATGGTTGGACACCAAGGGTTTTCTAACACTGAATCTTGCAAGTGATTGGACACCAAGAGTTTTCTAACACTGAGACTTGCAAATGGTTGGACACCAAGAGTTTTCTAACACTGAGACTTGCAAATGGTTGGACACCAAGAGTTTTCTAACACTGAGACTTGCAAGTGATTGGACACCAAGAGTTTTCTAACACTGAGACTTGCAAATGGTTGGACACCAAGGGTTTTCTAACACTGAGACTTGCAAATGGTTGGACACCAAGGGTTTTCTAACACTGAATCTTGCAAGTGGTTGGACACCAAGAGTTTTCTAACACTGAGACTTGCAAAATGGTTTGGACACCAAGAGTTTTCTAACACTGAGACTTGCAAATGGTTGGACACCAAGAGTTTTCTAACACTGAGACTTGCAAGTGATTGGACACCAAGAGTTTTCTAACACTGAATCTTGCCAGTGGTTTGACACCAAGAGTTTTCTAACACTGAGACTTGCCAATGGTTGGACACCAAGAGTTTTCTAACACTGAGACTTGCCAGTGGTTGGACACCAAGAGTTTTCTAACACTGAGACTTGCAAATGGTTGGACACCAAGGGTTTTCTAACACTGAGACTTGCAAATGGTTGGACACGAAGAATTGTTGTAATATTCAGACTTGCAAGTGGTTGGACACTAAGGGTCGTTGAAACATTAAGACTTGCAAATGGTTGGACACTAAGGGTTGTTGTAACATTCAGACTTGCAAGTGGTTGGATACTAAAGGTCATTGTAACATTCAGACTAGGAAGAGGTCAGACATCAAGGTTTGTTGTAACAGAAGATTGATTTCTTTGCACCAGGTTCTGTTCCATATTGGTCGGCCTCTCTCTCTCTCTCTCCCCCCTCTCTCCCTCCCTCTCACTCTCTCTCTCTCTCTCTCTCTCTCTCTCTCTCTCTCTCTCTCTCTCTCTCTCTCTCTCTGCAGACACAATGCACAAATCTTCCTAGCTCCTGTAACTATCTCAAGTACTCTCTAAAACACCTAGACTTCTGAACCAAATATTGTTCAAAGCTGAACCTACACTCATCAGAACATGAGGTCATTGAGACCCTCATATTATTGACATATTCATATATACATAAATTTTTACATATTTATGCATTTTTATATGGAGGACAGAAGTAAATAAATATGTGATATTGCTTAAGACTCTGAAATTATCTCTGAATAATGTGATGTGACAATAAGACCTAACTAACATGATACTAGATGTCTAATACAATTTTTTTTTACATAAAACTGAAAACTTGTACAACCAAACCAGATGATTTTCAAACCACTCTCAAATTTTCAAGTCACTTATAACATTTTTCAAATCAAACTGGATGATTTTTCAAAGTAGACTGGGCACTGTTTATTTTTAACAGTTAATCTTTTAAACCAACAAGTGAAGGCAAATTGCGACCTCACTGCTAATATTGTCAAATTCACCATTATATGGAAAATATAAATTCTGCAGGCCTTCTGTATGTGTAAAACATACCTTATATAACATGGTGTTTTAATTTTACAGTCAGTTTTGATTTAATTGAAACAAAATACAGACTTTTATGCATCTATTCATGGTAAAACCACCTAAACAATTTGTCAAATCAACCTGAATTTTTTCACGCAAACTGGGCATAATTTATTTCAACAGTTAACACGACTAAACAAACTGAAAGCAGTGAAGACAAAATCAGTTTATGAAATGCCGTTCCACTGCCTTAACATCACACGAAGAGTGTTATGTGTGCATTGCAAAGTGAATCATTGACAGTTGGCGGTTCACTGAAAAATATTGTAGAAATAACGGAAATGTGGTTTAAAAGATAATTGATGAGAACACCCAGGATAGAAAAAAAGATTGATGAAATTGACTCACAAAGAAAAACTTATTGCCCACATCAGAAGGAGATGATCTACGTGAGAAGAAGAAAACGGAAGCACATCATGACAGTAGGAAAGATGGAAGCTAAAAGAGGCAGTGAGAGGAGATGCCGGATAGTCTGACATCATTGCATGAAAGATCATGTGTGTCATGATAAATTGAAAGTACACAAGACAGAAGGTTGTGGATAGACATGACTATCAATGCCACAGGATATCAACTGTATGAAGTTGCGTAATCAGGCACAACGCTTTACTGACTGGCTGGTCTTCTTGTCATATTCATGCAAGAAACTTGTTTGTTTGTGTGTGTATGTGTGCGCGCGCGCACCGTGTGCATTTGTGTGTGCATGTACGTTCGTGCATGTATGCATATAAAAATATTATCATCATCATCATCATAAACAACGTCTACCGCTAAGTGTCGTGGGAAGGAATAATTTGCTATCCAGTGCACGCTGGCTGCCACTGTCTATTGTCATGACGTGAAGGCGTAATGTCTTTAATGTTGTTAATCTGAAATTTCCTGATCTGCTGTTTGTTGATGAATCTAGTACAAGGTGTCGTTTCCACAGTTTTCCTGATAGTTTTATTATTCACTCGATCTTGGATGGTTAGGTTCCCTGCTTATCTCAGGCATCTCATATTGCGGGTCGGGATTTTGCATATATGGGCTTTAGATAGTGTCCATGTTTGGCACTGGTAGCTTAATTTTGTAATGAATATGCTGTTAATAATCTGTCTCTTTGCACTCATAGTTATGCTTGGATGTCTTAATAGTGGTGACAGTTGATATATAAGTGCACTTGCTTTCTGACATCTGGTTTCTGTTTCTCAGTCAATTCTACCATCTTATGTGATCATACTTCCTAGATACTTAAACTCCCTACCTTGATTCAGGCCAGAACCATTCAGC